CGTCCTCTCACTTGCTCCGGTTCAATAGTGCTTATTGCAAATAATTTTACTAATTCCCACAAGTTACACACCCACAAGAAAAATGTGAACCACTGATCTATATAAGTGGCGCACACATAAAGCCTCCTCTCAAATAGCTTGTGATTTGCAAATACCAAAATGAGTGGCTTACTGGCATTATAAATCATATACAAAAACGTAATTCAAAATGCATGCCTTGGCGAGAATTAAGTTAAAACACTCAGTTTTGAAAAGTAAATAGTTGAGAAAGATAATGCAAGTTGTTTAACAATATATTGGATTCGTGCATAAACTCTTAAAGTGACAGCAGCCTAATATTCCTGTCATGTTAATAAAAGAAAATCTCTCTCTGCGTTTGACTGAATAACTTTTGAAACTTTAATTGTAAGCCTTAATCTATATTTATTTATTTTTTTATAACGAAGAATATCCAGTGTTATTTTATATATGATTACTAATTTCTGTAGGTTTTTTTTTTTACCGGAATACCAACCTACTGTTAAACCCACCATAAAAACTTAAAGCCGTATTTATTTCATCTCTCTCTTTATTTTATTGTATGCATGTGTGCTGTTGTTTGCTATTTGTTTATTTGTTATTTTATTACTGAATTTTTACCTGTTTTTTTTTTAATGAAAATAAAAGTAGACGTTTATTTACGCTGTCAATTATATTCTTTACCATCACTCATTACCATCACACAATTACCATCACTCATCAACCAGGATGTTATTGTTTATTCTATGCATTTTGTTTACACAAGTAATTCAGCAAAATGCTTGCTTTAAGCTTTTTTTTTGGGGCCCTTGGTTGTGTTTAGAAAAAAAACCTACCTAATCAATTGCATGGCTTGAAGACATGAATATATATAATTTTTAATTATGATTTTTGTTTTTGGAGTGTTTAGCTTTTATATTCTCTGATCGGTGGATTTTCTGAACATCATCATTGATAATGTAGTTTTATTTACCCCAAAACACGTTGCTAAACAAGAGTATTTTAAGTTGAAATAACGCAGTCTAAAACCTTCAACAAGCAAATACCATTTATTAACAACCTCGTAGCTCACAGTATTGTTGTCTTTAAAGGGGACATATCATGCAAAATCCACTTTTTTAGCCCTTAAATGCATTTTGTTGTATATTTGGAGTGTTTATAAGTACAGAATAGATTAAATTATTCTCTTCAGGTGCTTCGTTTATATCTTTATATTCTGTTTGTCTTATTTTTCAACCTGTTCAGATTTTTCTGTTGTCTATGACGTTTTTTGTGCAAGTGCGTCACCGTATTTGCAGCGGAACTGCCAAATAAAGACATTGACTACCGGTCCAAAACTTCCAGCAATCCGCCATTCTCGCTCCGATTTTGTAGTCCGAGCTCAATGATGCAGAAGTTACGAGAGGGCAAGTCAAAATGTTCGGTTTTTGGATGTACGTTAGTGACCTGAAGCACTTCAAGGATTCCCACTTCAACAACCTCTGCCAGTATAAAGAAGGGTTTGCAGTACCAGGTTTGCAGTTAGCAGTACCCTTGTCTTACTTTTTTTTTGTTTTGAAGTAACGTTACACGTCTGCAGTATTATTGTTCTTGAGTTTCATCAATGGTCATTTAGCTGCGTTGTTTTCTGATGCTTTTCTAAACGCATCATATTGTCAATACAGATTTTTTTGTGTGGTAAGATTAGACCGTAGTCATTTATCTTGTCAGTGTGCTTGTTTTAACAAGAGAAATAGTCGACTTTCACTAATAACACAAAACAGTTAACTCACATTGTTCTGCAGGTTCGTCGTAGTCTTTATCAACTCGCTCGCTCTGGCTCGAATATGTATGGCTTGAAGGACAAGTCTTCTGTTGTTGACATTTTATTAAAGTGTGAATAAAAATGTTCTTTGAAGGTATCGTACATAATCGTATATCTCTAATCAAACTACAACAATAATGGCCGAATGTGAGGAGTTGAACCGACCGTGAACTCATTGACCTGGAGAGCGGGCGGAGTATGACGCATCTCCTTTTTATTTAAAGGGGACGCATTGAAACGGGTCGCTCAAAGATGCACATCAGAAAAGGGGCCTGTGGAGCTATAATAATGAGGAATTCAGACCCAAGCATTGCAGTTATGTTTTACATAGACCACAACGGTATTATTTAGATGTAAAAATGAATGATTTAAAAGCATGATATGTACCCTTTAAAGGTTTATAGGTTATTAAAACATATATTTAATGGAAAAACTGAATTGAGTTTTTATTTCCCGGAACCCAACTATTGCACTCTATACTATTACTGTTTTTGTTTGTTTGTTTGTTTCATCTAAATATTCTGAATATAAAATCCTTTCTTGGTTCCTTTAAGAAATGACATGAATAATATTTAAAATATTACAGGATGATTTGTTTCACATCTGGTAGCAGATATCCTAAAATATAGTTAGGAGTATAGTTCTATAATAATATAGTTACACCTATCATTTCTCCTTGCTCAGCATGTCAGATTACAGTTAAACAAAATTTCATACCACAAGTTAAGAAAAGTATTGCGTTAGAGATATTGCTGAGTACTTAACGGCATCTCTTCTGTGAAGAGCAGTTGTCACACAACAAAAGTCTTTTCATAAAAGATTCAGCAGGTTTGGCCTTAACTAGAGGCATTAAATTCTTCAGACAACAGTGTTAAAAGAAAAGAAAAGGGACATGAGGAAATGACCAGTACACCAAAACAATAGCAAAGCTAAGTATCAAGAATTACATTGCCATGAAAGTGATTCATCTGAGCTGAGCGCTAAAGTTTTGCCCGCGGGCTCAGAATGAAAACAAGAAGGCGTGGCTCGCCGAGTCTGTCATATCGCGCTGCTTGCTGATTGGCTATCCAGATTCCATCGTTTCCAGGAAACATCTCTGTGAGCCTAGAAGAGCTCATTCTACCTCTGTGCCCATATAAGGAAATAACACGTCCGCCCTCCTTTTCACAGCATCCAATCAGAGGTCGACAGTAACATTTGTGGACGTAAACATGAACATGGAGAGAAGGAACCCGGTCACCGCTGTAAAAATGACGCATTTCCCGACACTGCCCATTATTTCAAACGGATCATTTTGTTTGTTTAATGTATGTTCAACTAATATTCTGAAAGTACAGCAAGTATACTATAAACATTACACGGCCGCAGAAACACTTTGATTTCGGCCGTATTTGTGCATAATAAAGAGGGGTTACTTTTAGTACTCCAATGTGTAAGAATTATATAAGCTTTAAATAGCACAATAACCGTACATTATCACAGAAAAGTGGCCAATAAGACGTTCCCCTCTGTACCAAATGCAGGGCAAAGCGTGTGCCTGCCGAGGACGTGAGATAACTGTTATGTAATACCCTGCAAGTAACAAAATAAGCAGCATATATACGCGTACGGTGCAGCGACGCAATAAAGCTCAACGTTATTTACAATGATCGTCGAAAAGGCGGGAATACAAAGGAGATAGCACATCATCAACAATGCTTTTGAAGGAAAAGTGGCGCCAAACGACGTTTCCATCCACAGCCATTGTGCTTATACACACACACGGATGACAGTGACAGCTCAGCCCAAAACTAATACTGCACCATTATTTCATGCCATGCTTTCCGGTTCCTGGTCGCTACCAATATGTGGACGGATCAGCAGCGTATATAATATCTCAAATAAACAACTGTAAAGTTGGGCTCAATGTAGTACAAAAATGTAGTCTAGACATGCCCCCCGCCTTTCTTTTTAGCATACCGAGCATAGATCAACTAAAACAACTGGCTTTCATACAAGACACCAAGCCAATTTAGGAAAACATCCTTAAAATCAAACATCCGAACGTATATAGCAAAAAACCGCACAAACCCTGCACGCAAACAACAATGCATATGTTTTTGTCAGTTTTTCTATTCATCTTAACGCATGTTGCTTATAGTGTGATAGCCATTTTACCAAGTGACAGATGAATTTGCGCCAAAATACCGTAAAGTTTGATTGGACACACGGCCTCTGACGTCAACAACAAAAGATATGGGAAGTGTCTTTCCCATTTTTAAAAGTTGAACTAATTTATTTTGTTGTCGGACATAAGCGCTATTAGATTATTTTGCTTCATAGCCTACCACCCCATCAAAACAGAAGAAAGAACAGTTTTTGGTCACGACCCACTGGTTTACAAAAGTGAGATATATAATATGATCTAACTAATGTCTGGAGCTAGTATGTGAAGTTGAGTGCTGACTGCTGAGATCAGGCGGACGCTCGCAAACTCCTCCTCAATGTACTTCTTACCACCATATACTTAATTACTCGCTGAGTTTTACGCACAACGCCACAATTTTCAACGTTAAATGACGAGCTTGTTAGCCCAAATGCAGCCTACAGTCGAGAAATCGAACAATAATATCACGGAACGACTAAAAACACGAGCAGAAAGGGGGAAATCTCCATCTTGAAGTCGATCCAGCACAGCTGTTTTCGGGATTCTCCATTTTGGCTCCGCTCGTGTCCAGTCATTATGTACGCGCATCTACCACACGCGAACATAAAACGCGTAAAAATTGACAGTGAGTGCTTTTAATATTGACAACGTGGTGAAATTAGCATAATAGCTGCGACATCAGCTTTTTTTCATCTCGGAAAGAGGGGGGAAAACATCGCGTCCTCGTCCTCCATCTTGCCTCTCAATTTGTGTTCCTGACTGTGCAGGGTAAGGTTAGCCCGCTAGCTAACTGTTTACCAATGAAAGGGCACACTCTATGTAACATATATTCATTCGTGGAGCCAAGTACGCTAGTTTAAATTCCCAAGCAGCCGTGCGAGGTGTTTTTTATTAATTAAATACGGCGACGGAAGCACAGCGGCTCGTTTCGGATCCTGTCCCTCGCTTATCAGGCTAGCGCGGCTAACACATCATCCAAATAACCCTAAAGCCACTAATTTCTATAAATCTCTCCGCCATTTTAGCACTTACCCGATCCTCAGGGTCGATTCCGGGTTGTTTATAAGGACTTCTTGAAGAGCTAGATGGACTCCAGTGTCTTTAAAGTGCGTGTTCGCGGCTATTTCATGGATGTAGTTTGAAAGTGGCGGTCAGAGGCGGTTTTGGACACGCTCTTACCCCGCTTGCTCCGTTCGGTTTGTTGTTCCGATCACTCAGAGAGACACTGCTGGTATAGAGCTGCCACCTGGTGCTCAATGGAGAGATTGCAGTGAGCTCGAGTCCCTTTAGTGGTCGAGGCCCTTAGGTGCAAATCCTCAGTACAGTAGACGCTAGTGTCAGAAATTAAAGGGACAGTTCATCCAAAAACGAAAATTCTGTCATCTTTTACTCACCTTCCTCATGTTATTCTAAACCTGTATAAATTTCTTTATTCTGTTGAACATAAACATATTTTAGAGACTGTTGGTAAGCAGACAGCACCTCCATTTTTTTCCTACTATGGAAGTCAGTCAGTCGGTGCCGTCAAACTTTTTTATTGTCATAGGACAATATTTACCAACTAGAATTGATTTTCATTGGAATTTTAAAATTACACTTTGTCCTATTCATATATTTATATTTCTGTAGGTTTGTCAAAAACATAATTATAGGAATAAAATTAACTAATTAAATAAAACAAACCTGACAGCTACAGACCATTAGTGTTTAGAAGCACTTAACCTATTTAATATATAGCAGCATAAATGTATCAAAATAATTATATTAATTGTCAAGTACACTGAAATGATGATCCCTATGGAAATTACATTTTGATATCTAATCAAGTAAATTGAGTTCTACTGCTGTGAGCATAAAAGCTTTTAGCCACACATTTCCAGTTTATCAATTTTAAGTGACAGATGAAACAGAAAAAAAGTTATGTTGTGAATTTTTCTTTATTATCATTTCCAAGCATAATAAAATTATTATTAAAAGAATTATGATCACAGAAAGGTATCAGAAGAAAAAACAAGTTTGGACTGGTAAAGTTTAATCAACCTTGAACGTGATTAAAATTCTAAAGCAATCATTATTTAATAATAAATAAAAGAGCAAAGATAGGCTACATTATTTCTTATCACATGATTATGCCAAATTAATAACCGGAAATAAATAGTTGATTAAAAAGTAGTCTACATAAAGGCACTATGATCTGAGTTTGTGTATTTGAGGGAAGCAGCTATACGGGGACACATAATAAAGATGTCTTTCCCTGCAATATATTACAATATATTATATGTTAAATAATGTAGTGTCCCTGCCTCGATCAAAAGAAAACATGAAATGTGCAGCGTGTTCTTTTAAGGTCTTAATGAAAAAATAAAACAATATTTTACTAGAGTTTAGTACATCTACAGATATATACACACACACACACACAGCTTAAATCAAATTTTACATCTATGTGCATTTTTAGGAATGATTATATTCTGCCACTGTTTCAATTGGAGTGCTGGTTTCTTTGTTTTTTAAGCATTGTAGGTCTTGATCTTCTGCATGATGGTGGCACAGCAGATGGGACACTTGTCCAGGGATTCTGAACATTTTTGACAAGTGACCAGGTGTCCACAGGGAATAAAGACTATGCTAATGTCACTGTCCATGCAGACTTTACATAGTTTCTCCCTCTGGAGTTTCTCAAGTTTCATCATGGGGTCCTCTGCAGAAAATATGTAAGAAACAAACAACATGTTAAAACAACAGTAATAGAGTGGAGGAATAAAAAATAAATCATTAATAATAACAACAACAACTAATGGTTCTCTGCTTATGTTATTATTTTTAAGACTAGGATTAAACAATTTGTGTCGACTCGTATACACAGGTTAAAGACTGTTATGCAAGAACCTGAAGCCCATATCTCACTACTTGTCCCTTGCATACAAAACAAAGCACTTGCCAACTTTCTTAGGCACGTCACTGGCGCTCTCCTGTGCATGGATGTCTTGAATAAGAGCCTCCACTGAAGCATAGCCCTCATTGTTCTGACGTAACTTCTGGAGAACGCTCTCCACTTTGATGGGGTCAAAACCCATATCTACAGCCTTCTGTGCAATCTCTGACTGCAGGACTTTCTGTGCTGCTGCAGACAAAGTGCAAATCAAATACACGTCTGGTGAAGACAGCATGTTCCCAAGCAGTTATAAAAACAGAGGTTATTCATTGGGTTTGTACGTAAATTGAGCTCAAAACCTTGCCCTTACCTTGCTCGTGACTCGAAAAGCCATTCTGACTTGACCTCTGTAAGTCCAAATAATAAATATGTAAGGCTACATGGTTACATTTAATTTGGTAACACTTTATTTTACAGCGTTCGTTTCATATTTACTATAGTAAGTACATGTAGTTAATTAATATTACTCTGTTCTTAAATGTACTATGTAATGTAATAATGACACCTCATAATACAGTGTAACCTTTTTTTATAGTTTGTGTACTTACAATGTACTTAGTTACCCAAGGAAGCACTTATAATACTAGGTAACTACATGGGTTAAGGTTAGATTCAGGGTTAGTAGCTAGTTATAACCGAGTTATTGTAATTGATATAATGAGTACACGTGGAACAGGACTGTAAAATAAAATGCAAACTATTTACAGCAGGATCAAAGGGTATTTTCAAAGAACAATCAATAGGAATTCTATCAATTCAACTGAAGTACAAGTGGTTGTGTAAAAGATAGGAAATTACTCACTGAATGGACTCCATTCGGATATCTCAGTTGTATATTGCTGACATATTCTCCTCCTTTTTCTGCCCGAAGGAAACTGCAGCTGGGGGTCGATTATAATAATTTTACATTTAGAAAACACATTCTTCAATGTTTACCTGACATGATCTTTATCTAAAATACACAGATAAATATTACATATTTTTTCAAATGTGTTTTTAGATTTAAATATCAGAAAAGATGGCAACATTTACAATAAGGTCATATTAGTTAAAGCATTAATGCATTAACGAACATTTAAAAAAAAAGATCAATACATAAATGTAACAAATATATTGTTAGCGCACATTAAAGGGTTAGTTCACCCAAAAATGAAAATTCTGTCAGGATTTACTCACCCTCATGTTGTTCCAACCCCGTAAGATCTTCGGAACACAAATTAAGATATTTTTGATGAAATCTGAGAGCTGGATCACTCCTGCATACTAGTCCATAGGCTTCTTGAGGGATTGAAACTTGCCGGCCTCGAAAAGTTATTAAAGACATTGTTAAAATAGTCCAAGTGACTACAGTGGCTCAATCTTAACTTTATCAAACAATGAGAACACTTTTTGTGTGGAAAAAAAAAAAAAAACTTTATTTCAACTGTAAGCTTCTGTTATTGTACGTCAAACACATCACACACATGACCAGCGTCGGCCAATAGTGAGTCTATGTGTGACGTAGCTCTACGCCATCACACTGCATTAACTGACTAGAGGCCCATAGAGAATGAAGTGAATAGTTGAAATAAAGTAGTTATTTTTGTTTGTTTTTTGCACAAAAAAAGTATTCTCGTCGCTTGATAAAGTTAAGATCGAGCCACTGTAGTCATTTGGACTATTTTAACGATGTCTTTAATAACATTTCGAGGCTGGCAAGTTTCTATCCCTCAAGAAGCCTACGCACTAGTATGCAGGAGTGATCCAGCTCTCAGATTTCATCAAAAATATCTTAATTTGTGTTCCGAAGATGAACGAAGGTCTTACGGGGTTGGAACAACATGAGGGTGAGTAAATACTGTTAGAATTTTCATTTTTGGGTGAACTAACCCGTAAACAAATGGAACCCAATAAACATTCAGACAATATTAGAGATTATAATTTTGTGGTTTTGCTTGTTATTAAAGGGTTAGCACACCTAAAAATGAAAATTAAGTCATTAATTACTCACCCCCAACCCTGTAAGACCTTCGTTCATCTTCGGAACACAAATTAAGATATTTTTGAGAGGTGGATCACTCCTACCCTAAGGGATTGAAACTTAACGGCCCTTGATGGCTCCTTTTCTTCCTTCTGAGTTCAAGAGATTTCCACAACGAATGCGCGTGAATTGCACAAGAAGTTGTAGAATATGAACGCAATTCTCGCGCATGCGTTGTGGAAATCTCTTGAACTCTCGTCTCAGGCCGAGAAGGAAGAAAAGGAGTAGTCGAATAAAGTCGTTATTTTTTTTTTTTTTTTTTCCCGCACAAAAAGTATTCTCATCACTTGATAAACTTATAGTTGAGCCACTGTAGTCACATGGAATATTTAAACATTTTCTTCAACGACTTTCTGGGCCGTCAAGTTTCAATCCTTTAGGAGCATATGTAGCAGTGATCCACCTCTCAAATTTAATCAAAAATATCTTCATTTGTGTCCCGAAGACGAACGAAGGTCTTACGGGGTTAGTACAGCATGGGGTGATTATTTAATGACTTAATTTTCATTTTTTGGGCAAACTAACCCTTTAAATACACTTATGCATTAGCCATCATATAATGCACACTAAAAGTTAATTTAAACAATTTCATAATACTGTTAAAATGTAAAGCTAATCTCAAAAACAATATCCATTTTCATACTGCACATTATAATGTTGTGACACCTAAAATTCCATTTAAATGATTGATTGAATATTTTAATGGTTTTCCATTACCAAAAATCAATCAAATATATTTTTAAAAAGTATAGAATTATTATATGCATTCGGCCATATGACAATTTTCAGTCAATTTTTTAAAATTGGTGCATTCCAACTTTTCTGGTTGCTCTTGGAGCTTGACAGAACCAATTATTAATATCAACTTTAATTTTATGCAAAAGAGCAACCAAGACATTAAGTTAAATACCTCTTTTTGCATTTTTGCAAACGTACCTCAGAGTCTCAAAATATGAAAAAGTAATTCACCCTGGATAGTGCTTGGCATGCTCCTCCCAAGGGTCTTCCTCAGGTATCCAGTCCTTCACTCCTCCTCCACATCTAAAGCAGATCACACGGTCTTGCACTCCTATATCACAAAACAGGACAGTTTGTTCATTGGGTTCAAATAGAGGTCTGCAGAGATGACACATTTTTGTAGCCATTTCGCACTTCCATTGTTGCAAAGTAAATGGGTTAATTGAAAAGGTTTTTGGTTAAACGCCTGAAATAAGGTCTATTTAACACAAGCTCAAGAAGGGAGCCAGGGTGATACTATTGATTTTGGCCTTCAAAAATACATCATCCCTCCAGCACTCCATTCTCCAAGTATATCAAACAGACTATATAAGAGATTGAATTAATAAATGAACTGAATATGCATTTCTACATGGAGAAACTTAACACTAAGTTACCTGTGCTGTAGAAACCAGCTCTGGCCAGCCTCTCAGGATCTATGGGGTGTTGTCTGCCTCTGAAGCTTTCAAGACGCCCCTCATAAGTCTCCATGGAGGCCATGCGGCCATTCAGCCTGGGTCGAGGTGTTGTCAGTGGCACATTGCCCGCATCATGTCCCAAGATGAAGAAGCAGTTTGGGTAGTGCTTTGCATGTTCATCCCAAGCATCGTCACCTTGCTCCCATCCTTCCAGAATCCCCCCACAACAGAAGCACTGCACTTTGTCATTTGTCCCATAGTAATACATCCCTGCACCCGCCAGGTCTTCGGGCTGAACCGGAGCGTCTGCAGGCCAGTCACTGAAAGTGTACAGCCGAGCTTCCTCACTCTTCATGTGCGGCGCAGTGGGATAAATGGTCTGATCCACCACCCCTCCCGTGCGGAGGAGGAAATCTCTGGCTTCGGCCACTTCGTCGTAAGCAGGGCTGTGGACGAGGTTGGAGCTTCTCAAGCCGTGAGCACAGCTAAGGAACTTGCAGCCGGGAGATGCTTGCTGATGTCTCTTCAATGGGGTATCCCCTCTGTTCCAGTCCTCCACCGTCGCATGGCAGCTAAAACAGCACACCTTGTCTGCCTCGCCTGTGAAATAAAAGCCTGCACGGGCCAGACGCTCCGCTGAAATTTCTTCAAAATGAGGGAAATGCTGGAAGGAATTCAGACGATGATCAATGGAGGACCATCCAACTTCACCATCAGCTACATAGTCCCCATCTTCACTCGAGTGTGCCATAGTAGCAGTAACAAAAGATCTGTCAAAATAAAAATAAAAAATGAATAAAAAAAATATATATATATATATATACACTTAGCAGTCAACAGTTTAGAATAATAGAGTTGTTTAATGTTTTTGAAAGAAGTTTTTTATTCTCAGCAAGGCTACATTTATTTGATAAAATATATAGTAAAACCAGTACAATTGTAAATATTATGAAAAATTATTTGATGAATAGAAAGTTCAATTAACAGCATTTATTTGAAATGTTTTGGGGTTTTTTTACATTATAATTGCTTAAATTTATCAATTTAATGAGTTTTTGTTGAATAAAACAACTTTTGAATTGTAGTGTAGCCTGGTTTGCACAAAAATATTAAGTTTATATAAGCAGCGCAACTGTTTTTCAACATTGAAAATAATATTTCTTGAGCAGCAAATCATCATATTATAATGATTTCTGAAGGATCATGAGACACTGAAGACTGGAGTTATCCTAATAAATAAATGGTTTGTTTTTACATATTTAATCAGATAATTGGAGCCTTAGTGAGACTTCATCCAAAAACATAAAAAAGTTGAATTATTCCAAACCAGTAGTGTGTAAGTATATCATGAGCACAAGAAGGTAGAAGAAAAAAAAAGAACGGTAAAGTATTGAACACTGCTAAATAAATATGTGTTTGCTCAGGTCAATAAGGCAAGTTTGAGCAAAAAGTGTTTCAGGAACACTTATCTGTTGCCATTTTGCCAAAGAGAAAGAGGTCATGTGTCATTTCCATGACAACTGTACATATCAAACTGAGTCACTGGAACAGTGTGAACATGGTGGGCTAAGCAGAACATTCCTTAGCTTGTATGAAACCGCCTGCATGTTGCATCTACCGGTACATTGTTTGTGCATGATTCATATCCACTAGTTCACTGACTAAACCTCAACGGATGTCTACGGATGACCTATTGGAGTACTAGGAATGCAAAAAGTAAGCTAAAGTTATTTTTTTTTTAAATAATTCAAATTCATAACCATTGGGAGTTATACAGAGATAATGTCACTTTAAGAGCCAGAGGCGTTGTCAGTCACATGTGCACCGCGCCTCTAGCATGTGTAGGGAAACAGAACACTTCTCACTTCTTCCTCAACCCACACTACACTGACTGGCATGGACATTACGTGCTCAAGATCATTACATCATTTGTACATTATGATTCAAACATCTTATGTAAGGGGAATGCCGTATCTAATCACCCCTTGGCATGTGTATGACAATTAGCAACATTATCACACCTTCCTTCCTATGCATCATAACATACATCCTACAGTCAAAAGACTTCAATGGCTAAAATTACACTTAAAAAGAATTGAAATAACATCTGTATATCTAATGTAAAAGATAAGAAGTTATGCACTGTAATACACTATAGTATAACAAAATATTGATACAAATGCAATCGCCATAATGAAATTATAGAGAACACAATTCACACAGCTCAACCTGTCCAGTTAATTTCACACACACACAGACACTTTTATAATTAGACCTTTATAATGTATAACATAACTCTCGCTCTCTCGCTCACACACACACCTGTGAGTGACCACCATATTAGACATATAGACGTATATAATGTAGGCTATAACACACACACTTATATACATATATATGGTCACTCAAAACTATGTGGCATTATATTGACTCCATACACTCATACCATTCCAAAAGCCAGCAAGACCACCATTAACTGGTATGACCAGTACCTGGTCCAAGATAGTCTACCAACTTGCACCAGCAAATGAGCAGCAACAAACTGTTCCCAAAACACAACAACCGTCTTAAACCTCAACACAATCACCCTATAAAACGAGACCCCATAACATCAAATATATGCATGCCATGCGTTGTACTATACATCATGGCACACCATGAGACAGGTTACACGGTTTCGGTTTGACAGTTCGTGATTCTCGGTAAATTTTGTCTTTAATTTGTCTCTTTTAGCGATCAACAGCAGCATCCCGATCAAGGTAGACTAGACAAAACATTCAAAAGGAGGGCGGATCACAGAGGGAGAGAGAGAGAGAGCACAGTGGGACTTTGACCTTAAAATGACAATCAGGCTGTTGAGATAAAGTACAATAAACTAGCGTTAGCATTAGCTAGCATTCTGTTGTACCATACACCTCGGCGTCTGCTTACCTTCGCTCTGGAAACACGTTATTCAGGGGACATCAACTTCTGTACTTTAAAAACTGCAAGCTGCACTCCGTTCTGCCCTTAGACGAAGCAGTTAAAATATTAGGAAAAGGATACGCAGCAGAGGGTGGAATTTGTCAATGGTGACCACACGAAGATCTATCTCATGAATATTAATTTGGTAATATGACGTTCGTATAGCTTATTGGCTGTAAAGGGTAGCTTGACGTCAAATGATTAAGTTAATATTTATGAGCAAGACTTAACGAAAGTAGACAGTGACAAAGATCAGAAATTTGGAAATTTAGAGGTTATCTTTTTTGATTTCGCTCTCTACACCAACTTCCTGGGACTTTTGCATCGTGTTACGAGAAAACCAACCACGACGTTTTTCCTTTGCCCGTAAACCTAACTATTGACTAAAATATACAAGATGACAGATTGTTTATAAAATAAATAAAATAAAAAATATCTTTAAAAAATAATAATTGCGACTTTTTATTCGTAATTGCGCGTTTATATCTCGTTTATATCTTTATATCGCAATTCAGAGTTATAGAGAAATTGAAGAGTTCAGATGCAAAAGCCTCTAAATGCCATTTGAAATTTTCTTCTAAAATGACCATTTTTATCAAGCTTATATATCCAAGTTCAGTAATTTCACTTACATGACAATTAATAGGTAATCTTCATTGCCATTTAAGTGAAATTACTGAACTTAAATATACAAGCTTGATAAAAATGATCATTTTAAAGAAAATTTCAAATGGCACTTAGAGGCTTTTGCATCTGAACTCTTCAATTGTTTTTATTGTAGGGAAAATCTGAATTGTAGTAAAAATGACCATACACCATATATTAGCTACTTTATGCATGGCACAATATTCATTAAAATCTGAAATAAAGGCTACAGGCTAGCTATGAGACCACATTTTTGTCGTGTCTTTCACATAGTTTTGTGGAATCCGTTCTGTTTCAGTTATGTAACTGTAAATTTGCACTCAACAACCTATACATTCCCACATTCAAAAACGTTAATATTATCTTGATTATTATCTCTTTACCAGTGCAACCTGTAAGGCTACTGTTAGAAAACCAAGAGATATGAATAATCCTCTAATAATCTTCATTCTCTGCTGCCCCTGAACAGCTGCCCTTCATGTAGCGATAAGCAGAACTCCACAAACAGACAGTGTATAAAAAGTCTTTAAAATGTAAAGACAGTAGCCTACGTGACATACATCTTATAAACAAACAAATGAGGAAACATGAAGCAAAAAGAATTAGGGTTTTTTTAATGTTTTTTTCTTGAAAAACAGAATTTCTTGAATAGTTTATTATCTGTGTTACATCTGTGAAGTGTCTTCACACAAGTCAAGTGTGAGAAGAAGCATTTCTATGGAAGAAATATGAATGACATTCTTGAATTCCGTTACAGCCAGTGAAAATTGTTTATCAATGAAACTAGTGAGTGTGACGGACATAGAGATGGAATATAGATTGAAGGGTGGGAATCAGTTTTTGTATGTTGGTATGAGGATATGTTCCCACGGTGAGCTGTGCATGCCAACACTTTCAGAAAAAAAAAAAAAAAAAAACAGCAACATTTTAGGTTTTCTGGGAATGAACTTAAATTTACAGTACAAAATTATATATTTCATTAAATGATATGTTAATATTCCATAAAGTAACAAAACCTATTTATGTATGGATAATACAGGTGGTAAAAGAGACACAATGAATTAGAGTTCATCACAAGTAGCTTTTTCACAAGCTAATGTCAATTAGGTTCCCAAACTCAACTACAATACATCACCATGGTAAAACACATGACACTAAAATTAATGTACATAATAACAACAATTATTTAAACAAAATACCATCAAATGGAAAATGTCACGCAGGTGGGGATATCAGTTTACATTTTTTTTTTTTTTACATAAGAATATGTAGATTTAAAAGAATTCTGTAGCCTATTATTGTGCAAAATGTCCCAACAGATCTATTAGGTCATAATGTTTTTCACAAAACACAATATATACATATATATATATATATATATATATATATATATAAATGACCCCATAATAATGTTGTATATGAATCAAAATGGCCATCCCCTAAAATGTAAGAAGAGCAGTGGATTGATAGAAATCTTTTTAATACTGACATATTGCAATGGGGAATTATGCCAAACACAAGGTTCCTGTCTGTGTAAGACATCTTTACCACTACCCTATTTACCCAGTCAAGCTGACAAGTTGGTGGTTGTAGCGCTGCACGTCATGCATTCATAAAATCCATGTGTGGTCAGTTCCTTTTAGTAACTTATAATGTTTAACAGCAGCTAATGTGGTAAGAGGAAGTCTGTCTGAATGCATCTCTATATTGAAGTCCAATGAAGATGAAAATGAAAAGTGAATATTTATTATATAAAACAAGCACAAATAATACCGGACGCTGAACTGAGTGACTACATTACACTTGGTGAATGAACTCAATGACAATGAACTTTAAAATGAGCCAGGCCCGTTTGTTATAGGCCAACTGTTGCTGTTGAATTTTCCTGTATAATAAATTAAATGAATGAATGAATGAATGAATGAATGAATGACAAACATGTGACAACTAATTCATCTATAGCCATGGTAACAAATGATGAGTGGAAAAGGGAACTGAACTGAAGAGAAACAAACTTAAACTCCCTGAAAATTAAACTTAAAGGGATACTCCATTTTTAGTTTCTTGATTATTACGCAGGAATGAGAGTATAATTCCTATCAGCCTAGAAAATCGCAACTTTACATTTTCCGTCTGTCTTAGTGCACGATGTAACTACAGAAGTGTCAAGTTTTAAATAGGAAAAATAACAAAACACTTTGGTCATTTTTTTATGAGAAATGCTAATGGTCTTGTGCACTTCAATGATGTATGCTAAGCTATGCTAAAAGTGGTACAGCCAGAACCGGAGATCGGCTGAATAGATTCAAAAAGGGTAAAACTTAACACTTTGGGGGAGTTGTAAAATGAGCGTATTTCCAAAAAAGTGGAGTATCCCTTTAAGGTAAAGATGGCACTTAAAGATGTCATCCTCCTGGAGTTTAACAAAATATATATAAGAATGAATCATGAACTTGTACACTCAATGTCAAGAAGGGTCAGAACAGTAGTCATGAAGTACTTATATACTACTATATACATATTTTAACACATTTGTATGGAAGAAATGTGACTGAAACTGACATTCTTGAGTTCCATTGTAGCTGCATTGTCTCTGTTGTTCTTACTGTCTCTGTTTTGTTTTTTCTCTCTCTCCTTAGGGTTGGTCCTGAAGGTAACGAGGTGCTGTTGACGCTTAGACCAAAGAAGAGATCCAGACTAAATTTCCCAGAATTCCTCTGGAGGCATAGCTCTCTCTGTCACTTTGATTGCTCTAGATTGTTGTGCTCTTAGAAGAAATGGTACTATTTAGAACCAGAAATGGTTCCATCTCCCGCTTCATATGGAACTCCAAAATGGTTCTATGTAGAACCATTTTTTTTTGTGGTAAAGGGTTCTATTGGCCAAGTCTGGAGCAGGGTTCTACATAGAACCCAGGGGAACCCTTTTTTAAGAGTGTATAGAACCTTTTAGGGGTTCCAAATACGTATTGCTGATAGAACCTTTTCTTCTAAGAGTGTGTGTGTTAGGCCTGTGATTTTTGTGATCTCGCTGGTGGTGTTTAACAGAGTGCCGTTAGTTGCTTTTGCTACAGTTTGATCTTTTGATAACATCAGCGGTCCCTATTGGTCCTATCTGTATCACATCTTCATTATTTAAAAAGCTGTAGGGAGTTTTGCTCCCATTTATTTTGTAGGCCAAAAGGCCTCCACATTTTCTCCTGTTTATTGGTTAGGAGGTATGGGTATGTCATTGAATGTTTTGTTTCTTTTATTTTAATTCAGGGAAGTTCGTTTTCTTGTGGGGAAGTTAGTTTATGATTGTTTATTGTTTTAAGCATTAGCTCACCCCATATTTTTTTTTAGCCCAGATAACAAGAATAAAATGGGTGAATCATTTGTTTGTCATTTATGTTCCACCATGACCTAAACCAGAGGCCGTAACACTACCAGAGAAAGTTGTGTATCAATGAAACTAGTGATAGTCACATATGTGACATACAGTAATTCAGATGGAATGTAAAGAATTGACAGTTGGATTCTTAACCAGTTCTTGTATTTGTTGGTATGGGAGATATGTTCCAACGGTCAGCTGTGGTTTCAACACTTTAGAGAGAAAAAAAAAAAGTTTTATGGGACTGAACTTAAATTTACAGGACAAAATTATATATTCCATCAAATTATATAATGTTAACATTCAATAAAGTAATAAAACCATTTTGAACTAACAATCAAGGAACCGCTGGATTTTTACTATTGCTCATTTTTAGAACATGTTTTTGTAATACATAACCTGTGTCACATAAAACCTCACATAAACTTGCACTGTCTGGTTTTCAATCTGGTTTTAGGAAACAACATCGTACAACTACGGCAGCTTTAAAAGCACAAAATGGCTTCATAGAATCTGTGGACAAAAGCAAACACTCTATTCACACACCTGGTGACCTCTAGTCATTTGTAATAATTGCGGATGTCTGTGATCCTAATCCCGTGCGAAACGGCCATATTACTTTACAAATTACAGACATGAGCCCTATTTGCACGGGATTAGTATTACCTGGTGACCTATAGTAATCTGTAATAATTGCCGAGTTTGTCTGTGGCAAATCGGCCATGTCTGTATTTGTACAGTAAAAAATCCCCCCCGCAAATTACGTCTAAAAAATGCTGGGTTGTTTTAACCCAATTTTGGACAAACCCAGCCATTGGGTTAAAAATGTAATTAAAAATTGTAACCCAGTGGCTGGGTTTGTCCATATTTTACCCACAATTGGTAACAACTCAGCATTTTTTAGAGTGACATTCGCCGAACAACGAGGTCCTGTGATAATATTAGTCCCATGCGAATTGGCATCTCTGTGTTTTGGCCGGATCATATATCATTTTTTAAAGGTTTTTGTTTCATGTGCGCCTTTTTATCCATCTTTCGTGAAGAATGGAGGCTGGTTTAGAGTGTTTTGATAGTATTGTTGGTGCTGGGTCATATATCGTGGGTCATATATCACAACTAGGTGATTATATAATTAACAAGGTGATTATATATTGCTCTAAATTCATTAGTTTGCAAGCTTAAGCTCAAATTATTTTTTAAATATTTTAATGAAATTAAATATTTGATTCATTGTTTTGTCAACTGTGTTACAGACAAAAGTGGTGTCATAGAAGACATGAAGGACTACACATATGATAAAAACAATTGCTCAAAAGTTCTTGAGTATATTCACCAGGGGTTTTGAGGTTGCCTGTCTGATTTAAAATATGAATTTTAAACTGAATAACATAATTCAACATAATTCTCCATTACACTGAATTTAGAGTTATTAAATGTCTTTATCTAATACTGTTCATTCAAGATATGTCCTTTTTATCATTTGTATTACATTTTAGCCTACATTTAAAGATTTATGACACAAAAATCACCTTGAACATGTTACCTTGAACATTACCTTGATCAACTTGTTTTTTTTTTATTTTATTTTTTATTTTCTCTACATTTTTGTGGATATAGTATCTAAAGTAAGTACACAAGACTATGTGGTAACACTTTAGAATACGGTTCCTTCGTTAATGAATAACTACACAAGAACCAATATTAACACAATATAATTAATCTAGTAATATTAATAACTAACAAGAAACTCTGATTAACAAACTAGTAAGTAATAGCACACAGATGAAAGTGGTAGTTCACTATTAACTAATCAATAACTACTATTTTTTGAATGCTTCCAGGGAACTACTGAAAAAGTTTATTAACAATCTAGTAACTACTATTAACTAAAATATACTCTCAATAATGAATTAGTAAGTAATAGCTCACAGATGAAAGTGGTACTTCATATTTCTATGGGAATTACTAATTATTTGGATCTGTATTCTTAAGTGAAGATAATGGGAACTAACTAGTAACGACTCAAGTGTTACGACATACAAGTATACTAAAGTTCATCAAAAATCTCAAATGCTTGAATGACTTTTGTGTTTGGTTGCACAAATCATGAATAGATCATGTAGTAACACTTGAGTCATATTTTGTGGAATACATCTTCATGTAACTTTTGATTCATTTAATTTATCCTTGCTGAATAAATATATTATTGTCTTTAAAAAAAGTTTTGAATGGTAGTGTACAAATCAAGATGAACATGTCCATGTAATCATTTGTGTGCCCTTTTACAGTTTTTCTCAGTTGCTGTGGTGCATTTCTCACATCACTATTTACAATTGTTGCATGCAACAGTTAGTTCAACATACACAACATTTATTCATTTGTACACATCATAGTAGCAGTTCCTCAATCCTTACAACAAATTGCAAATGCTTTTGGACATGCATCAATTGCTTTCATACAACTCGCTTCTGTTTTATAACATTATCATTTGCTGTCATGTCATTTAAAATTAACTATACTTGTGAATGCTGAATAGTCATTCTATAAAAAACCAATAGTCCTGATTTCATTGTTTGAGTCATCACATACAAAAATGAACTAGTTGTCAAAATCTGTCAAACACATTTTGCACCAGTCTGGGAAGAGTGAATCTACAATAGGCAAGCAGCTTGGTGTGAAAAATATCAGCTGTGGGAGCAATTGTAAGAAAATGGAAGACATACAAGACCACTGATAATCTCCCTCGATCTGGGGCAACACGCAAGATCTCATCCCGGGGTCAAAATGATCATGAGAACGATGATCAAAAATTCCAGAACTACCCGATGAATGACCTGCAGAGAGCTGGGACCAAAGTAACAAGGCTGCCATAAGTAACACACTACACCGAGAGGGACTCTAATCCTGCAGTGCCAGGCGTGTCCCCCTGCTTAAGCCAGTACATGTCCAGGCCCGTCTAAAGTTTGCCAGAGAGCATAATATGGATGATCCAGAAGAGGATTGGGAGAATATCATGTGGTCAGATGAAACCAAAATAGAACTTTTTGGTAAAAACTCAACTCGTCGTGTTTGGAGGAAGAAGAATGCAGAGTTGCATCCCAAGAACACCGAAACATCACTTCTCTAGTGGAGATCAGCATGGAGCAATGAGCCAAAATACCAGCTGGTGAAGACTTACAGGAAACGTTTGACCTTTGTCATTGCCAACAAAGGTTATGTTACAAAGTATTGAGTTGAACTTTTGTTATTGACCAAATAGTCATTTTCGACCATAATTTACAAATAAATTCTTTCAAAATCCTACAATGTGATTTTCTGGATTTTTTTTTTTTTTTTAATTTTGTCTCTCATAGTTAGTGTATCTACAATGAAAATTACAAACCTCTCTCATCATGAAGTTTTATTAACCAAGTTCGGGAGGAGCACGTTCAGATAATTAACACGAATGGACAGCAATCAATGATAAGAGGGTACATATAGACTCAGCAGTCTTACCTCAATCCATTGACAGTTTGCAGCATCCCTCCTCCACACTCCTAGTTCTCCACACTCCTCTTTCTAAAAATCACTAACATACGGGGGGAGTACTCTGGGTTCAGACAGAATTCCGAGCTCGGGGCTCTCCCTCCGGACAGCACGCCAAATACGCATTGAATCTTACTCACTCAAAATTATATGCAAGTGTGAACTCGTGAAATTCTAAGTAGGAGAACTTGCACAAACAGTGGCTGACAAAATACTTTTTGGCCCCACTGATAAGATTTTTTTGCATTGGAAAATATTTACAGAGTAAAGCGTCATAATGAACACACGACAAAGCCATTTATTTGACTATCTTTTTCATAAACAATGGTGTCAGGACTTTTCATCTTGACACGGACACTTTCATTGGAATCCATTTTGACCAAGTGACACGCTTTTGCAGGTTATCAATAGGTTTTGCAGTTTGTACTAATTGTTTTGAGAATTGCACCATGACATCATGACTGATCTCATGAAGTAGCGCGTGTATGACACGGCAATTCGTATTTCCATTTTTGGCGTGCTATCAACACACATAATCGCTTTTCAGCGCGTTTATGAACGCCGTTGACTTAACGTTACTACTACTGTATATATAAATATATGACTTACCTCAATCCCGTCCCTAAACCTAACCGTCACTGGGGTTAATGGCATTTATGACCATCCTAGGAAAAACAAAGGTCGCTCCCCAGATGTAGATCTACATTTTGCTTCGTTTCGCTCGGACATTTGACGGCGTGTACAGACACGCGGAATCACTCGGACGTTAATGGCGTAGACATACACGCATACACACGGATAGCTCAAAATGCGTCGAGATAATACGCCACTTGACTCGAAATTGGAAATGTAAATAGTGATGAGAAATGCACCAAAGCGACTGAGACAAACTGTAATACAATACCCAGATATGACTGCACCAATCACCTGTATTCAATTACAATTTATTTCCCATATAAAAAAAATAAATGAGCATCGAGATGGAAGAACACATTATGGTCACGTGACATTCGCACATGGACACAAAACTAGAAATCACTAATCAATGAAAATATCAACTTTAGGTTTAACAGAAATAAAGCATTCATGGCTGAACTAGATAAAAAATAAATCAGAATGTTATGTGTAAGCCTGAAACACATGTACCAAATAAAATGTATGAAAATTGACTGACAAAACAAGTCATGAGCTTTTTAACTACCATAAAGAGAATGCTGATCATAATGTTGTTCTTCAGCAGACATCTTTAAAAGCATTTTTTCTACTGTGTTTCTTTTAAATACCCTTACAAACAAGTATTCATCATACTTGAACAGCAGCTTAAAGGACAAGTTTGGTATTTTAGTGTAGGCTTTAAGTGTAAAATACTGAATTTGTCCTTTAATTAAAAGCTGCGTGGCTCTGTTTCCACTCGGGATCCTTCAGCCCTCTACTATCCGTTTTAACATAGATCCCAAGCCACCTTTAGCCACTTGTAGAGGCGTCATCTTTTCCTTGTTCTCAATGTAGATGCTGGCACCATGTTCAACAAGGAGTTTAGCAGCCTCTGCTCGGCCCTCATCACATGCAAGATGACTGAAAAAAAACAAAAAAACAATGACAATAGTTCATATAAAACAGGTCTTAGGAGGTCTCTATACATAATTATAAGCAATAGATGAATAATAACACTAGGGGTTCTGCACTACTTACAGTGGCGTGTTTCCTTCTGAGTCTTGAATGTTGGTAGAAGCGCTCTCTTTCAAAAGAAGCTGAATGAGTCGGTAGTTGCCCTTAGAAGACGCTCTGTGCAGAGGTGTGGATTGCAGTTTATCTGTTGCATTAGGATCTGCACCATTTTCCAGCAGAATCTGGGCTATCTGTTAAAAAGTAATATTGTTAATTTAACATTTAACAATCTTCAGAAAGCTTTTATAAAATAACCTAATATAACTTTGAGACAAAAAAAGAGTTGGCAATATATTAATATGAAATGAATTTAAAATTAATATGAATTTTTTTTCACAATTTTCAGAAAAATGTTATGTAGTCATTTACTGTAACTCTTTCATTAAAAAAGAGCTGGCAATATATTAATAAAAAATAATTTTAATATAAAATGTTTAAGGATTTTCAGAAAACAAATCATGTAATAGTAATAACTTTGATAAAAAAATTGGAAATAAATTAAAAAGTACAATATAATATTAATAAATATTTAACAATTTTCAGAAAGATTTTATGTAATAATTTAATATAACATTCAAAAGAGCTGGCAAAATACTAATATAAAAAATACATATAAGATAGTAATATAAAACATTTAACAATATCCAGAAAAAAATGAAATTATTGAATAAAATAAACAGAGTTGGCAATATATTAACAAAAGATAATAATATTAAAATGTTTAACAATTTTCAGAACAATTATGTGTAATAAATGAATAGAACTTAAAAAATAGCTGGCAATTTACTTACATAAAATAAATAGAAGATAATGCAATTTAAATGTTTTTACAATTTTCAGAAAAACAAATGTGAAATATTTTAATATATAACTGATAAAAAAATGACCAGGCAATATTAATATAAAACAAAAGATCAAAATTAATTAATTCACAATGTTAAGAAAAAGTAATCATTTAATAGAACTAAATTTAATATAATGCATGTGGATGCATCTATGCATACCAGTGCCAAAGACAAAATTCTGCTCTGTGACAAAGTTAAACTAAGTTAAAGCTAAAGCATAAACTAAACTCTGAAAAAAAAAAAAAAAAAAATCTGGCAATATTCATATAAATATAAAAAATAAATATGAGATCAAATTAATAATATAGAAGTTTAACAATTTTAAGAAATAGCTTATTTAATAACTGAACCCTCTGATGAAGATAAAGAGCTGCTCTTTTACAAACGTCAAATCTACCTCAAATCGATCTTTAGATGCAGCGTAGTGCAGTGGCGTACAACCATTCTGGTTCACAGAGTTCAACTGAGCTCCTTTGGATATTAAGGATCTGACTATTTTTTCTCTCCCAGCAGAAGCTGCTATATGAAGAGGTGTCCAACATGCCTGGAATGATATAACATGGTAAAGATCTCCACCAAGAGGATATGCAGTGAATGACAAAGTATCTATTATCAAGACATTTAACTACATAATATTGATGTCATGAATTAACTGCACTTATAAATGCATTGAGCAGTAATAATAATAATGAGGGGTTTAAAACCAATAACATTCACTGACACAGTATATAAGGCTTTTGGAATGTCCCATTATGAAACAATGCTGACTCACATCATCTTCGATATTCACGTCAACTCCAAGCTCCAGCAGAAACTGCACGATATCCGCATGTCCAGCTGAACAAGCCCAGTGCAGAGCAGTCCTGTTGTCCTGTATGAAGCAGCAACACAGCATATTATTACTTAAATATCTTAGACTCAATGGAAAAACTTCAATATAGCATCATGCTAACCACTGTGCAACAGCACCAACACTTTCTCACTTACCTGGTCTGTTTTCGTCGCTAGTGCGCTGTCAGATAAAACAAAACCTTTAAGTTCTTCAAACTTTCCAGTGTACGCTAAATTACAGATTTCAACATTAGATACGCTTCCCTCCATCTCATCTCAGACTTTGGGGAGCACCAGTGTGACAATTGACTTACTGGTCCCGCCCAAAACATACAAGCTGCAATGTCATTGGATAAAACAACTTACTTAGGTGCCGCAGAATGGTGCCTGATTAAAACAAATAAACAAAAGCCGAGTTGCTCAGTCGTTTGTTGGTTACATAATAGCTGTATGATTTTCTTTAGCCAATATAGCCATGTTCTTTATATTTAGGACTTTGCAGGGATGTAGATGACTTTTTTTTTTTTTTAAGATATATGTTGTTGATTATCCTGAAAATACTGTACATTTGTTTAGGCTTTGCGTTTTGCATGTTGGTGTAAAATGTAAAAATGTAAAATGTAAAACTATGAAATCCCCACAGGCTTACTGCTGTGGGAAAATGTAACGTTATAATGTGAACCTTTTTTTTTTTTTTTACTAATTTACATGCATAGACAATTTGCCATGTTGAGGAAAACTATTGTAGTGAAATGAATAATACGAAATAAACATATTCTACCTTTATGCATTTTTCACCCTTTCGTCGTCTTGTGTATATTTTATTCCCCGTGGAGTTTTCTATTGATTGGAAGAACCTATGGGAAGAACTATGGTGGGAACTTAGAATGACGGTGTAGTTTTCCAGCGGAACATTCATTGTGAACACAAACACATTTGAGCACATTTTTTTCTCTCCGATGTTGGATTTGTTTTTCGAAAAAAGTAAGATAACATAATTCTGATAGTTTGCACGGAATATATCTTTCGACGTGGGCATAAACTACGATTTCACTTTATTTTCTGACTTACCGTAAATTTACACCGTTGCTTTGTATTCACTTGGCTTGATACGTTAACTGTTACATGCCTTTTAAATCGCACTAGTGCTAGCCATTTTATGTTTTATCATTTGTTCGGATTTCAAACACCTTAAGTCGACTGAACATCGCAAAGATCGGTGTAGTGTAACGTTACGTTTTGTACCATGGCTGTTGCGCCAACGGTGGTAAGTTCATTGATATCATCCATTAGTTAAAGGGGATAATTCAAAATGAAAAAAAAAAAAAACTTTTATACTAAACAAAATATATCTTGAAGAATGTTGTGGGGCCACACTGAGCTTCTTTAATATCCAGGGAGATAAAGAATTGAATTGTATTCGATTTCAAAATGTTCAAGTTGTTTGGTTACAACATTCTTCAAAATATCTTCTTTTATGTTCCACATAACAATGAAATCCATACAATTTTGTAATAACTTGAGGGTTACTATATGACCACACACACACATACATACACACACACACATATATATATATATATATATACACACACACACACATATATATATACACACACACACACACACACACATATATATATATATATATATATATATATGAATCTTTTAATGAACCATCCCTTCAATCAGAAATCTTAAGTAACGATACGTATAACATAACTTTGTACTCACCATCACCAATTCAGTTCATATTGATCAGGATTTCAGGGTTCAAGTTGATCAGTCATGCAGATACTCGGAGGAATTCATCAACATCTATTATGACTGTATGGATAAGAAAAGAAGGGTATGCTCAAGTTTAACTTCACTTCATGTATGCTGATTTAATATGTTAATTAACTGCATTTGAAGCCTTCATCATGATAATGAATGATTGCTTTCAGACTCTGACGAGGCTGTATCTGGACAAAGCAACACTGGTGTGGAATGGCAATGCTGTCACTGGACAAGATGCTCTCGCCGAGTTCTTCGAGTCTCTTCCCTCCAGCGAGTTTACAGTGCACACCCTCGACTGCCAGCCTGTGCATGGTATGCAAAATAAGACTACATTTGTTATGCTTTTTCATATTTTAAATTTAATTTTATATTTAGAAAATATACACGTGAATTAAATGTTTATAATCATTCAATCTAATACTATTTTTTTTAACAGAACAAGCAACTCAGGGCCAAACTACTTTGTTAGTGGTTACAGCTGGTTCAGTGAAGTTTGAAGGAAACAAACAGAGATACTTCAACCAGAATTTCTTATTAACGGCCCAAGCCTCTCCAAACAGTGACCAGCCAGTATGGAAGATTGCAAGTGATTGTTTTCGCTTTCAAGACTGGGCAAATTGAATTGTTGTCTCAATTTTTTTGTATAGCTCTTGTTTTTTTCTCTTTTTTTTTGTAAATTTGTTGTAATTGAAGTATGTACTGTAAATAAAAAGACAGTTGACGTGTTTCTAAAATGGAATACCACACAATGAGTAGAAAACAATTTTACTTGTCCCCAGTGAATATTACATACAGTGACAAATAATAAATAAGCATCATAAAACATTCTACAAGCAAATTTACAATTTCTCAATGCAAATACTTGACTGCTGTATAGTTTTGCTTATGGTGGTGATAGGAACCATGAAGGCCGTGGAGGAAAGATCATTTCAGAAGGGTAGTAGTAACTGCTGGACTTTTTTTTGATTAATGGCTATTAATTTAACAATGGCTAAAACTCCCTGACAAAAAGAACAGTGCAAATGACAAAATGATTATAATTAAAATACACCTCCTTGAATAAAACAAGCAAAGATGTGACCGATTACAATACCAGTACAAATCATACTTTCAAAATAAAACAAAAATAAATTAACAAGGGTGAAAATGAAATGTACAATTTGAACCAAATAAATTAATATACAGAACACAATATTATTGGCAAGATTCATATTCTGGCGCATAATTTAAAAACTTTATGCATTAAGTATTGACAAGTGGTTTAATGACATTACCAAATATAGTAAAAGCCTGCAGAAGCGGAATTTGAAAGAGACAAGAGTTTGTGACAATCAGACACTGTTAGCATAAAAAAATGAGTGGTTTAAAAAAATGACACAGATGCAATACAAACTTGACACTGTGGCATTAGAGGGGAACGTTATTCCAAAAAGAAAAAGAAAAAAAAGAAGAAGAAATCCCTTCCTTTAAATTCAGCCCAAATAAGAAACACAACCACTTCCTGGTCATTTCAACCTGCCCTGAGTCATTCCATAAACAAATATGTGAATAACAACAACATGTCTCACTAGTAAACAGCAAAGAACATGGTTTGTAAACCATTATGAAGACAATAATGCATTGCATGGATGGAACACGCAGAATAGAATTAAAATTTACAGCCAATAAAAAGTAAACGCTTAAAATAGTGACCAATCAGAAGGCACAGAAACATCACTATACTTGTTGCCTCTAAAAGGAGGCTCAATTCTGCAGTGCAATTACTTCACCTCAGCTAGCGGTTACAGTTTTACTATCAAACCAAGGAAAATTAACATTTTGTTTTCACAAAGAAAAAGAAATTTCACACCTATTGGGAAAAAAAAAGCACGAGGTGATGGCAGTATATCGCTGTTGTATGGTTGAAATCCTCTTTACAAGAGACTCCTTTTGTATACTAAAATGATAAATTAGTGGATACTTCATGCTGGATAAGATGAATATCGTCCCTTGTCCAACAGTTCTCAATCTCATCTACAACTCTAATTGTAAACTATTTCACAGCAGAGACAACAGAGCTCTGAACGAAATCCCACAAAGCTCAAGAATAAAAATTCGGACCAACGGCTTGTCAACATTGTTCATCCTTGTGTGTATCACTAAACAACGGGCAGTGGTGAAAGCTGTGGCAAAATGTGTGTTTTTTAACATTTATTGATATACAGCAATGTTGCACGGTGAGGAACTGATGAAGATGTCTTTGGCTGTGATAAAGGTCCTACTTGTGGCCATACATTCTTTCGATATCATTGAGATAGTGGTTCTTCAGTTCCTTCCTCTTCAGTTTGAATGCGTCCGTCACCAGGCCCGTTTCAGGGGTCCAAGGCTCTGGACTCAGATGGACCATGACTGGTATTTCAAAGCGCTGGAGTTTAACTAGAATTATGGAAAGATTATTAGAAGACAATCTCTGAGATGAAAACTTTTTTTTTACAATTCCATTATGTACACATTAAGGTTCGTAAGATTTTTTAATGTTTTTGTCTTTTAAAGTCTTTTATGGTCACCAAAGCTGCTAGGCTTTTATATTGTGAAATACTTTTACAATACCTTTAATAGTTAGATTTTAATATTTTTAATAAATGTAATTCATTCCTGTGCTGTGAATTTTCAGCATCATTACTCCAGTTTTAATGTCACATGATCCTCAAGAAATTATTCTAATCTGCTGATTTACTGCTCAAGAAACATTTCTTTCTTTGTTGGGAAACTGATACATTTTTCTCAGGATACATTTTTTTTTTTTCCAAAAGAACATTTATTTGAAATATAAATATTTTGTAATAGTATAAATGTTTGTTGTCCAATTTAACACATCCTTGCTAAATAAAAGTATTAATTTCTTTTTAAAAATGTTACTTAACCAAACATTTTCAATGGTAATAGTGTATTTTAAGTAGAGTCGAGTTAAGGTCAAGTGTGCACAAAGTCTGATGAACTAAACGACAATATAAATTACATATTAAAAAGGTACTATTTTTTGCACCAAAATTTATTTAAAACATATTTAATGCTAACAATTAAAAATCAAAAATTTTGAACTTTGACACCATGTACCTTGCTGCTATAAAACCTGAAAGTAACACTCACTTGAAGTTGCGACTTCTTTAATTTCTCTCAGAACTTCCCTTTCCATAACCGGGTGGTTGCAAATCTCTTCCCATGTGCCTTCAATGCCCTTCTGATTGGCAAAAGCTGTCAGCTTCTTCTGATTAGGAACTATGAAGCTGATAACATAGTTCTGGTCACTGGTGGGCAGAGAGAGAGAGAAAAAAAGAGGTCTGTATACAGTACATCTGCTGTTCTAAAGAGAGGACCTTTTGTTAGTGTCAGTAACATCCCATATGCGTCACACAAAGCCGAGTGTACAAACCTGTTTGCGTAAGCGCAGATGTTGTCGATGAGAGAGCAGTTTTTCAAAGCCGACTCAACTTTACCTAAAGAGACGTAATCCCCAGCTTGAAGTTTTACAAGGTCCTTCTTGCGATCTAGGCGTTACAAAATAATACGATAGATTAAAAGAAATGTGTGATTTTGACTCAACCAGGAAAGAAGACTTGTGATGCTGAATCTAGACATACCAACAATCTGAAGACAGCCGTCAGGGTGCATCTCCCCTACATCACCAGTGCAGAACCACCGCTGTCCGTTCTGATCCACATAGAAGTCGTCGTTATTACAGCTCTCACTCCTGTAATAGCCCATGGTTACATTAGGACCTCCGATGAGGATCTCACCACGTGGATGAGGCTTGTCGTGCTTTGTATAGCCACCTGAAAAAAAGGAAATGATTAGAATTACGACCGCTGTAACAAGAACTAAAAGATAAAGGAACAGTTCACCTGAAAAAAAAGATGATTTTTACCCGCATGTCATTTAAAATCTGTATGACGTTATTTAGTTTCTTCCAAAGAACACAAAAGCAGACCATTTTTGCCCAGCTCATCATGCAACAACACTTCATAGAGAAACAAATTGTAAATCAAGCCACTTACCAGCAGTGTTATTTTACCAGTATTTATATACTATTATAATCATCTTTTATTTTTATATATTTCAGTTTTCATTTTAATTTCAGCAATTTTGCAACTTAAACATTTTTAGTTAGTTATTTTAGTCCAAGTTTTCCATGTAAATTACATATTTTATTTCTGTTTTACTTAAAATTATTTGTAATAGTTTTTGTTAACAATCACAACACTGCTTAGCTGAAGCTCACATGACACCAAAAACAATAACTTTGGCATTTTTTGGTCTAGATGTTATCAGATTAATTATTATTAGATGACACACGATATATCAGCCCCCATATCGGTATTGGCCGATATATGTCCATTTTTAATGTTATCAGTGCGATAAAAAAAAAAATATTTCTGACACATTAAAGCCGATTAATAATGGATTATTTCCTTCAGCTGAGACACTTCAGATGTGCAGTGTGCACTGTTCACCACCATGATTTTTTTTTTAATTGCTTGAAATGATTAAAATACAGTTCAGTAAAACATGCAGCGCAAGTTTGTCAAATAGGCTACATAAAATTAAAATGAGAACATCATTATAACTGTGTGTTTGGGACATGGCTTTTAAATGGTGAAACTTTTGTTTTTGCAATCAGGCTCTCAAAAAATATTTTAAAACTTGAATTTAAATTTATCAGCCAACATATTGGTTATCGGCTATCAGATATAAATAATTATCTGTTATCGGTATTGGCCAATTTTTTCCCTATCGGTGCATCCCTACTTATTATGCAATATTACATTTATGCATTTGGTAGATCCTTCTATTCTAGTGGCTGGCATTGCATTAATGTACACATTATATCATTAACAGTTCATGCATTCCCAAGGAATTGAACCCATTTGGAATTGCGAACGTTTTCGCCATGTTCTACTGTTTGAGCTAAGTAATGCTATAAATAGTTTTTGTTTAATTTGTGCTCTGCAAAAAAAAAAAAGACAACAGCATACAGGTTTGAGCAACATAAGCGAGTATATATCATTTTTAGTGGACTATTTCTAAGATTTTAACAAGTAGCTAAATGGAATAGGATACATTGACCAACCTTCAGCCCAGTCTTTGAGTTTGAGCTCACAGCAGATCAGAGGAGAACCTACTCGTCCTGTGCTGTAGTCTGCAACTGTAAAACAAAGAAAACAGATACTTCCATGGTCACAGCTTGAAGCATTAGGACAAATACCTCTGAAGATATTCCAAAACCGGAGTATCTATTTACACTAAGTACAAGTAGCCGCCTTGTTAACAGAAGCTATTGACATTAACTCCGCACACTAATGTCTGGTTGAGCCAAACAAAATTACTGAAGAAGCTGGATTGTCAACACTAGAAATACATAGTATAGGGGTGAGGAGTTTGGCAGAGAATTGTTATGCAAATCAACCCAAGTTCATATCCGCCTTTTGCCGAAACTTGCCCAATTCTCTTTTCCATTTATTTTCAATAAAAATTAAGAAAATAATTGAAAAGTAGAAATAACGTGTATTTAATAATAGTGTTTATCAGTTAGGGTAAGGAGTAGGTGTAGGGAGGGCTTTATTGTCCCAATAAGGCAGCATCTATTTAATAATTAATAAATATAATAATTTACATGTAATTATTGTAGACTGTTTATTGTACAACCACACTGAGGTTCAAATAGTACCCTATCTCTGCCACTATTTATAACCATAAATAGCATCCATCTACTAACACTTATTGCAAATACTGCTATTTTCACATAGTGTAAATAGAATCTAACACTATTTGCACATAGCGCTGCCTTTCTAAATATGTTTTTACAAGTAATAGTAAGTAAGTAAGTAAGTAAATAAAATTTATTTATACAGCGCCTTTCACAGACTTAGTCACAAGGCGCTTTACAATATACAAAAAATTATTTGATAGAAAATAAAATAAAACAGATAAAAACATCAACATGTAAAATGCAGAGATTACCCAAAAGCTAACCTGAACAAGTGAGTCTTCACTTGTCCCCTAAAACTGTCCACATTCTCAGCCAACCTAATACTGGTAGGCAAGGCATTCCATAATCTGGGTGCCATAGCGGCGAAGGCCCTGTCCCCACATGATAATGAACAGGGATAGGTTGGAAAAGATGTTGGTAAATGGACTGCACTTTACATTTTGCCTCACATTCACTCATAGATCGACGGCATGAACTATGTTCAGATGCATCAGGACTACTTGCCTTCAGTTATAGTGCCTGCGCCACAGGTCTCAGTAAGACCGTATCCCTGACCAACAGGACAGCAGAAACAGATGTTCATGAAGCGCTGAGTGGCGGTAGACAGAGGAGCTCCTCCAGACAGCATCATACGCACATTCCCACCCAGCAAAGACCTGACTTTCTTAAAGAAACTGAACACATTGAGGAACAAAGACGATTAAAACTCCAGACTCATTAACAAGAGCAATGTGATTAAATGAAGGCCTATTTTCATCTCATCTTACATATTGCACAGGGGCGCATCGTAACCCTTCTTGATCTGCTCGAGCTTGTAGTCATAAGCCAGTTTGAACAGGGTTCTCTGAACCCAGGTCATCTCCTGCACCTTACTCATCACGTTCTTATTGATCCGGTCCATTATTTCCTGACAGAAGAAACGAAAGTGTCAGATTCTAGCATGATTTAAGCGAACAAAGCAAGATCATCATTTTAGAAGAGTCCGACTTACAGGTACGGCTGCCATTAGAGTAGGTTTCAGCACACTGCAGTCACCTTTACTTCCCTTCTTAATTTTGGTTGACTACAAAGCAGAAACAAGCAATTCAATCATCTGAGATTAACATATTTTGTAAAAACCTCACAAATCTGTGTAAATGTGTGACTATATTTATCTAATCCAGTAACAAATTGGAGTGCTGTACCTGATCAGACAGCGTTTGTGGTGTGGAATAGCCGATCCTGCAGCCGTATGTCACACATGAGATCTCAGCCGTCATTTCCAGGACATGAGCAAGAGGAAGATATGCAATATACGTATCCTTTGGTCTGTGGAAGCATACAGACATTTTAATGTCAGGCACTTTTGCATTGCAATAGTTGTGTTCTGGAAGTAAAAAAAAAAAAATCCATTCATTTTCTCTATTGAGGAATTGATTTTTAACTGTAACTTATAAAATGTTAAATAGATTGTAAGCTACGGTATAAGGTTGTTAATACATTTTTGAAGTGCATTTATTTTTATTTATTTATTCATTTATTTGACATGGACATTGCAATTAAACATAGTACAAAACAAGTCTGTAACAGATGCTATGCAAAAAAAGTTTATAGCTATTGCTAATTTTCAACTCCAGTCCATAGCATTATTTCAATCTATTTTTTTAAAATAAATCATGTTTAACAGCAGAATTATTGTATAAAAATTACATTACCCACAAATCTGCAAATAAATTTACACCTAAAAGCTGAAACCAGCAAATCAAGACTACAGCATACACTCACTACTGAGAAGCACTGCCAATAAAGAGCCATTACATACACAATCTTGTACCCGATTTTCAAATACTTTTTTTCTTCAAATAAATTCACCGCTATGGAGAAAATGAATGGGAAAAGTTATCCCAGAACCAAGACCACTGAAAAAGTAAGCGGCCTCATCATTATACACACCCCAATCCAGGTATCTTTTCACACTGGCCTGCCATTCCAGCAATCAGGTTACTGTGGATGATCATCACCCCTTTAGGTCTCCCAGTGGAGCCGCTGGTGTACATAATAACAGCGAGGTCTGATGGGACGGGCTTCACTATTGGTCTGTTCACTGCAACACAAAGCACACATTATTTTCTTCTCTCGTGATGGAAATCGCTAATCAATCTGTGGGTGAACGGACGGTAAACTACAGGCAATCCGTGAAAAGGTTAATTAGCATATAAATAAAATGTCAACTGTAAAGTCTGTGCTATTAATAAGATGTATCAAAGCGTTCTTACGGTTTTCTGGCTTGGCTCCCAGCTCTTGCACAGAGTCCATGCTGTGGATCTGGATGCCTTGTGGATATCCTGCTGTGTTGATGCCCTTCTTGTCCACATAGATGATGTGCTTCAGATTGGGCATTTGAGGAAGAACACTCTGTATGGGAATAAAAAAGGTGAGGAAAACATTTTCATTAAATGTTTCCAGAATGTAAATACTAAGGCTGGATAAAAAAAAATATCGATTTCTCGATATTAATCAATTCTCATTTTTACTAACCAATATCGATTCTTAAACCTCAATAATCGATTAGTCATCCTGTTTTCATTTGATGAATGAATGGAACATTGTAGCGTGTAGCCTATCCAATAAATCGTAATAATCTTTGTGCTTTGTTACTATTATTATGAAATAAAGTCTCAAATTTCGAATTAGGTCCATTTTCTTACGAAATTCAAAAATATAAATAGCGTTTTGGCGCTGTGGCGTGAGATAGCACTGGCTCAGCTCAGGTCTTCTCTTCCGCCTTAATATCAGTTACTCCGCCTTAATACCAGTTACAGTGATTAATAAACATGAATGAGCATCTGAAAGTGTGTTAAAAGATAGAGTACAACTCATCGAAATCCATATCGTCATATCAGTGTCAGCCACCATTTAAATGTTTATATTTCATATAACTTTATTATAAAAATAAATGTGTAATTTAAGTGTTTGTATAGCTGCAAATCAGTTCATTTTTTATCTTCAATATCATAATAGTAGTAGTAGTAGTAATATCATAATGAAGCCTATAGGCTACTGACTCCCATAGTTTACAGCATTAGTTAAGAGATTTGTTTTCCTTGAGAAAATTTGCCATGTATTGTACCCGATATCCAAAATAATCAATATAGAATCGAAATCAAATCGAATTGCAAGCTGTTGAATCGAAATCGAATCGAATTGTGAAATCTGTATCAATACCCAGCCCTAGTAAATCAATTCAAGTGGCAGGGTAAGTAAAGCTGGCACCGGATGTCAACTCCAACTTTGGACAGATGATGAACTTTGCTTAATACCAACAAAATGTCAACATCTGCTGTTGTCAGCGCAATATCAAATTGTCCTGACATTGATATTTGGTTAAATATAGGTTCCGATGTGATGGTGGCTTACGGTGATGATGGTGGCCCGCTGGAAAATTTTAAATGACAATAGGACCTGGATGGGGCATTACTGTTAAACCATGTGGTGTTTCTAACAGAACTTTTCTTATTGGGTCATACATAAAAAGTTGAGATTCAGTCAGTGAATTGGACCTTCTGACAGATTCAGAGTGTTCATTCAGTGAAGATTTCATCACTGATTCAAACTGACAACTCATTGGTTCATGAGTATATTTTTGCAACCATTTATAAGCACAAGCTCACAAGAGTCACTTGTTTGATGGTTGTTTGACAAAACTGGATTTGAGTGGAGCTAGCAAAGATGATGCAATTGAAAACAAGCGTTAATTCATTCACTGCAAGTTCATGACTCATCTAATAATTATTATTTTGTGTTGGATCTGTAATATATAATATAATATATAATAAGAACTTAAAATTAGAAGTTACAGGACAATGTTTATTCTTAAGTTTAACACCTTGAACATTAGCCTTAAAGCGAAAGCGTGTTCCAGTGATTGAGGATAGAACCAGCCGATGGGAAACATGCTGGTACCGAAGACATTGCACTGGGTCTAGTCTCCCTCCATAACATACACACACGAGTATTACAAACGCGAGCATGCCAAGAATGGAGGTTGGATCTGTAATATAGTTAAGTACTGGATTGTTAGCAACATGTTATTGGCCTTTGAATAGCAAACTTACCTTCAGTTTGGTTTCCAGCAGTTCTATACTGGTGACCAGGTGTGTAACTCCACACTCATTCAATCCGAAAGTCACTGCCTCTTCTCCTAGAGTCGCATAGAAGGTGACCACTACAAAAAAAACCATGAAACACAGGTTAAAAAAAGATAAAGATTGAGATAAAGATAAAAGATAAAGAGATGTCACAGAACATCTGAGTCATCACGAGAAAATATTTTTCTCTTTCCTTACATGGGAAATTGCGTCTGAAGCAGGCCTGAGCTGTGATCATCCACTCTGGCCGCGTCTCACAGAAAATTGCGATGGTGTGTTTTGGCTGTTGGCCTAGCGCTGTCAGTCCACTCCCAAACTGACTGACCACAGTGTCCATCTCCTCATAGGACAGCCATTTATAATCACCCAGAATTAACTGCCAAAACAAAACCATCAAACACCTTCATACCAACAAATGTATTATTTAACACACGTATTGACATTTAAATGAGGACCCTTTTTTTAATTAAAAAAAATGTTTTAGGATGAACAGCAAAAAGCACACAAATACACAGACATTTTCTATATATTTTTCTATATTAATTGACATGTGTAATGTCTGTCAATTTAACCCAATTTCTTTGTTGTGAAAATAAATGATGTTGAAAATTTCACTATGACAGTGTACTACAACTAGATAATGCCAATACAAGCTGTTAAAATGTTATTCTATCTTCATTTAATAAAATATGATTTATAACATATATAAATGCATGCATATCCATAAATATAATAATAATGTGCAAGTTAATATTCAAAGGAATATACACTATCTCTTCATTTGAATTGGAAAACATCCATTTCAAATAATCTTTTTTTTTGTTTACTTTCTATTCATCAAACAATCCTGAAAAAAGTATTATGGTTTCCACAATATTATTAAACAGCAGAAAATAAGCAAATTAGATTTCTGAGTTTTCTAGATATTGGTTTCTGATGGATCATCATGCGACACTGAAGACTGGGATAATAATGCAGCTTAGCATTACATTACATTTTACAATGTATTCTAATAGAATAGATAAAGCCACACAATCTTATTCCAAAGTGTTATGGTTTTGACTGTATTTTTGATCAAATAAATGTAGCCTGGGCAAGCATAAGAGACTTCTTTTAAAAACATTAAAAAAGCTTTTGAACGGTTATGTACAATTATAAATGATACGCATTTATGATGTTATGATGAACAAACGTTATGTAACAGGCCTGTTTAGGAGAGTCGCTTGTCTAGACTAGACCAGCGTCTGACATGAGCCAAATTGAAAAGGTCATGAGAAAATGTAAATCAGCAGAAAATTAAATAGGCACTTTGGCTTGCAGTGTGATCACAAAATATGTACCTTTTTGAAAACTTTCCCATTCGGTTGAGGCTCATTTTCTTCACTCAGAACTTCTCGGGTTCCCAGGCAGTCCGCTTTACCGAAGCGCTGCACGGCATAGTCAAACAGCTTATCAAGAGTGTCTTTTCCAGGAAAGTCCACAGTTACCAGGGAGTCGAAGTGATCCACCGAACGATACGGTCCATCCGCCTGACCGGTCGTCGACTTGGATTTGAGCCTCTTTGCCAGGACTTTCTTTTGCTGGGCTCCAGTCAGGAAGTACCATGGCAGAAAGCTTAAGATGGAGTACAACCACACCACTGTGTGTACGGGGAACAAGAGAACGGTACTCAGGTCCATGCTGAGAAGCTGAAGGGGACTGAAAGATGAAGGGATCAGGCCAAGCCTGAGGTAGAGTAAGTTTGTTGTTCTGTGCTCAACTGAGGATCGGAGGACTTCAGAAAGACTGGGGAAGTGTCCAATATGTGGTTCCAAAATGTGCAACCTGGTGAGAATGACAGTCAGAAATTTTTATAATAATTCAAGTGTACTCAACCAAAGCACGGTAGCCTACTTTGGCTTGCTTAGTTTAGGTTTAAAAGATACTTAATATTCAGTAATATAATCGAATTGACACTACTGGATGAGAACAAAACTTGAAATGAATCGACATTAAAGCTGAATAAAGACACTGTCATCTTCTGTGGAGAGGCTCATTAAAGAATAATGTTGTTTTGGCCATTGAATAAAAAAATTAAAAACGTAACTGACTTTTTAATTGAACAAATCTGAATCTTTTTTCTCACAACTGCAAAATTATCTCACAAATTGGACTTCAAAATTCACAATTGCATGTTTATATCTCATAATTCAGAGAAAAAGAATATAGAAGTCAAAATTGTTTGCCTCGCAATTGCAAGCAAGTTTATATCCTGTAATTCTGACTCCATTTTTTTGCAATTTAATTCAGGGTTTATTCTTTTTTTCCTCAGAATTGTGAGATTCGGAAAAAAAAAAAAGTCAAACTCGCAATTAAAATAGGTAACTGTAATTTTTTATCCGGCAATTCTGAATTTTATCTCAGAATTCTGAAATGTAAACTTGTAATTGTGAATTATAAAGTCAGAATTGTGAGATCAAAAAGCTGCAATTTTGTTACTTTTTATTCTGTGGTGGAAACAAGCTTCCATAGCTTATAGCCGAATTGAACTCATTTCATAATTGATGAACAACACTGAATCAACACTGAACTGAATAATGACACTCGTATCTTTTATAGAGATGCTTCACAGAAGAATGAATTTCTCTCATTTCAAAAAGTTTAATGTTCATTACTTCCTGTTCATCACTGTGAAGCTGCTTTTAAACATTCAGTATTATATATCCCTTAAATGACAAGTTCAGACATGTGTTTAGCTTCTTAAAAAAGAAAGGAACAAGACCGCATTGCACTATTGCATTGCACTATGAACGGAGTACAGTTAAGTCTCTGTTAAACTCCCTTCTTGTCTTTAATAGTTACCACCATAACATTACAGAATTCATTAATGTACTGTTGAGGTCAATATAGACTAAAAACTTTAATATTATCCTTTAATATTATCCTATTCATTCAAAACCAAACCCAACCAAGGTAACGGCACTTCCATGAGAAAAGCAAGTTTGAGGCTTCAAGTGGAACAGCATTCATCCGGACACTGAGAAAAGTAAGGCTTATTAGAGGACAGTCACATGTGTTGTGGAAAAGACACATTCCAGAGCAGTGAACATTGTCTCTTTGGTCCTCATTTAATTTAATTACACTAGTATGTATGAAGTCATAAGAAATACCATGCGATGGTCGCCCTAGCGGACTCTATTGAGCAAACAACAGCGTGACAATAAGGCACACGTTTCTTACCACACATCTATCATTTGGAGATAAATGTTTGTAAAAAGCTTGATACACTCGTATCTAGTGTTCCTGTTTCTGGTACAGTCATGGATTAGTCTAGATTACAAGGAAACACCCAAAATGATCAAACAAACCCATAAACAAATCAGTTTTCTTTGAGTTATCTCTGTTATTAGCCACTTGAACTCTGGCTTGTGACTTCATCACAGGCAGATAAGGTCATCTCTTGATCAAATGACTATTGTCAGATTAAGGAAGTAAAAATGAGTTACTCATAGAAATGACTTCAACCTAACAATAATGCTACAACCTGTATACAAAGAACTACGTAAATTTGCATAGTTTTGCATAGTACTGTTGCTGCGCTAACAAACTGTGCATTGTCTATGAAATTAGATCCTTCATGTCTTTGCTGACAGTGAAGACAAGTGTGACCAGCTGCAGGAGCTGTTAAAAGGTATCAACCAATGGCATAAGGTTAATATAGGACATAGTCCCCTGACTCAGATAACCAAACCTATCTTGCTATTATGGCAGTTGGTAATCTCTCTCTGTTTGTTTAGGCTGACAACATTTTGGCGTCCAGACACCAAATCATGACCAATCCTGGTGAAACGGCATGTGACGTGGACACAACCAACAGCCTGATTTACAGTTCAGGGCTAGGAATAAACTCATTTCTGCTATTCCAGTGAATAAAAGACAACAAACTAGTGGTCAGATAGTGTTTTTTAGTGGCTGATTTCTAGAGATTATTTAGGCTACATGTTCATTATTTTTATTTTACAACCTTAAACTGATAAATGGTGAATTTAGACATCTCAATGTAGATTTACAGTTTTTTTAAAAGGCTAATGAGTGTTCAATGACAGAAAAGGTAATCTAATTATAAAATTGAATATACTACATTATTAAAACACTCACATAACTTCACACTAGGGCCGCATGTTATATCAAAATATCGTTAATGTACATATCCCAATAGCTTGAGATATCTGCATGATCTTAATACGCAATACTTCAATAAGTTAAGCTTTAGGTTGAAAAGTCCGTTTTAGGTTGACGCTTAAATAGACGACTGTTACTTGTATGTGACTTGCTTGACTTTAAAAAGAGCTGCGGAAAACAACTCTTTGCGATACTGAAGCGCGCACGCAGAAAGGGGCCTCGGACAGCATGCAATCCCAAATTCAGTTCTCTTTCGCGGCTTATTGCACTCAAACGGTTAAATAAACACAAAGGTATATGTCAAAATACCTGTCATGTTGAGTATCCATGTAAACAGTCAGTTATGCCTCAACTTAAGTGAACGTCAACAATTAGAAATTAAATCGGATGTGTCAAAAGGATCCATAAATTAGGTCTTAAAGTGACAGCAGCCCAATACAGTAAATCTGCGACTGTATGTCAAATCGCTCACTGCTCTTGACTGAATAACTTTTGTAGATTTATTATGGATCAATGTATATTAGAATTTGTATTGATGCTTTCTTTTTATATGGGTTATAGAATTTTCAGTTTTTAAGAAAATTTTTATTTAATTTACATTGATTTTTAACACTTAAAGCAATATCGCATCACATATGAATTTCGCATACGTGCAGCTCTACTTCTTACCTGGGGCATAGGCCTATTAATTACACCTATGTCCTTGCTAATGCACAGTTAATTGCATTAACCAGCAACAAATTAACTTATAAAGAAACAAACATTAATGCTGACTGGATTTTTTTTTTTTTTATCTGCCCTGACGAGTTGAACCCCGTACAAAGGTTATACTCAATCTGAAGTCTTAAATCCTGGTGGTGAGAGTGGTCAGTGAGCTGGACAGCCAATAATATGCATCCGAGCAGCTCACCCCACTCACGGACCAGATCTTCAGGTGGACAGACAAGACACACAGCAGACAGGAATAGAATGATTGGATCCTGGATCTGATCCCATTATCTTTGTATCTTTTACAAACTGACCTCTGTTTACTTGACCTGAATGCACACTTTCAAAGTTTACATCAATACTACAACAGACTGTGAGTGGTTGTGACAAGGATTCCTTTACAAATATTTTAGCATAAGCCATTGATGAGGTTGACATGTCATCAATACCTCAAGTCCAACTTTCTGTTGTCGTGTACTTATAAAGGATTCAAAAGGTCAGATAAAGTAAGCGATATAAAGATAATAAAAGCTATATAAAACCTACCACCATTCATATATTTGCACTAATTTTGCTACGATCAATTCAGGCTCAAAATGCCGTCTCTAGGCACGACGCAGCTCTGATTTGACACACAACAACACGTGTTCCGTCCGTCACCGTTGGAAACGTCTGTTTAATAAATGAAACGTTTAATTTCACCCAGATCGCTTTGATTACCCGAATCCTGAATTTTAAGCTTGTCTATATCGCTAAGTCTGATCATTTGAATGTGATGACGATGATGGTGGAGCTCTTTGTCGGATGCGAATTGCGAACGTCAAACACAGCATCATAGTCATCGTCATCATCATCATGAGAGGATGCCAAGACATGCTTTTCCATCACCTATCTTCCGATCAATTAATTCTGTATTAAAAGTTGATTTACATACTTTAATTATCATTCAGACACAGCAATGACGTATAATATTCAGATTTGATGAAGCACCCTGTGTTAGCCAGTAGCACACCCTTTATCTTTCATTCATCTATAAAGTCGCAGTAAACAAGAAAAAAAAATGTAAATCCTCTCGTAAAGAAGCTCTGAGGTATTAAGATTATAGTAGTGTACGAGTAGCTGATTAGAAAATGATGCTCGTTAAATCTTACCGGCGTTTAGTCTCTTCCCTCCACAGCCGGATCGACTGCTGAGTTTCTGCTTGCCAAGCGCAATGACCGAGAGTTACCTCCAGCGCGTGCTGCTACACCCGGAAATATTGCGTCATCTGACTCCATATTTTTCAGCCAATCGTCGTCCAGATAACGAAGGAACGGCGCATCATTCACTTCCCGTTGCTGTTGGTGCACTTCAGGTCATAGCTACAATGGTTCTAGTGATAATGTTAGTTATAATAAAATAAAATGTCCGTTCAGTTCAAATATTTTCTCTGTGAAAAATGGTAAAATCCACATCATATTCTACACAGTAAAGTAAGAGTTGGTGGTGTTTTGAGAGAATTGAACTCAGGAAGTAATATTAAAATAATATTCTTGAACTGTAGTAAAAAAAACAACAAAAAAACTGTAGCACTTTACAATGAGGTCTCATTTGTTAAAATTAGTGAATGTATCAACTAAAAATTAATCTTAGTTAACGTTAGTTAATATAGTTCATTGTTTTCATGTTAGTTCACAGTGCATTAAATTTTAAATCAAATTTTGATTTTATTAATGCATTAGTAAATGTCGAAATTAACATCAACTAAGATTAATAAATGCTGTAGAAGTATAGTTCATGTTAACTAATGATCTCTTATTGTAAAGTGTTACCAAATAAACTATTGTAATATATGGAAAGCATCAGAATTCAAAGCAACAGAAGGCTCACTGGAAATTTGTTACAACCAAAGTTGTGGGGAAAAGAGACAAATGAACCAAAACCAATTTGCTCGGTAAGATGCATTTTTATTAGCTCCTATTTACATGGTAATATAAAATAAACCCAAAGTTCCATGACTGAACAATGCATTGTTGCTTTGTTGTAAATGCAGTGTTGTAAATTGTACCACAACATCAAGTTGTTCAGTCCTTTAAAGCGGGATCACTTTTTGCCTTCAACCATGATGATGTGGTAACCAAACTTTGTTTTCACGGGAGGATCTGTGTATACGGGTTTGTCCATAGTGCTGACAGCTAGAGCAAATGCTGCATCCTGAAACGGTCCCACCATTGATCCTCTTGTCATCCAGCCAAGGTCACCCTGTCATATGCAAACCAAAACTTTAATCTATACAAGCCGTCATTAAGACATTTATGCAGTCTTGATAAAAAGCAGAATTCAAATGACAAATTACTAAGTACATAGTTTGATCATAACTGTAAAACAAAAGGTATATAAAGATCTGAAGGTACTAGGCAACAGATTCTTCCAGGTATGTTTTTTTTAGTTTTAGGAAAGGGTGGATAGAATAAAATGTGAAATATTATGAGAAATTCAATAGAATAATATGGGTTCAATGTTTAATGCAAATTACATGTTGAGGAATTTTAAAAATGTCTTACTCCTTGTCTGGCTTTGTCTTCACTGTATTGTGCTGCCACTTCACTGAAGCGCATACCAGATTTGAGTTTCTCCATTGCTTCCATACACTTGCCATGCTTTTCACACAGAATATGCCGAACCTAGCAGAAAATAGACCAACAAAAAAAGGTGTCAATTTGACAAACAAAAATGTAACAAAAACCTTGGCAAATTTGCAAACAAGTTTGCATATTGTACTATATTAAAACAGCACAGCGGAAAAACAAAACAAAAACAATGGATAATATCATTGCAGATACAAACAGTTAAAATAATTGTAATTTCATATAATAATACAATAAGAATATTAACATTTAATAAACAATTAACAAGCAATAAACATTTATGAACAACATTTTATAAATGTATTCACAGGAATTCAAATATTCATAGGAACTTAGAATCAGTGTAATTTATTAATTTATATATATAGGGTCCATCAACTGTCTAGGCACAGACATTCTTCAAAATATCTTCCTTTCTGTTCAGCAGAAGAAAGAAATGTAAACAGGTTCGAAACAACTCGAGGGTGAAAATATTATGTTATATATATATATATATATATATATATATATATATATATATATATATATATGTGTGTGTGTGTGTGTGTTTTATAAATCATCAAAATATTTTTGTACCGTACACTGCACTTCGAAATAAAAGAAATGTTAACTGAAATAAAATATATATTTTAGCTAGTTGGCAAGGCAACATTTCTCTTATTTTAGTTTAACTTAAAAATAAATTCACTCATATATATTTTTCATTTTAATGATCTCAATATTTGAAGGCAACCAGTTTACATTTTAAAATGAAACCAACAATAATTTATTCAGTGCGACGAGTATGTGTACAGATGTTTACCTTTACTGCAGTACCTCCTTTCTGAGCCTTCTCCTTCTTCTCACTGTCTCCACTGCCTGAAGCAGCAGCCCCTGCACAGATACAACAAGAAACGTACAAGGCAATTTAAACAATACTAATCCATTTGTATGTATATTTTAAAATTGCCATTGAATCGGACATCTACACATTCTTCACGCACACATTTATACTTGCACATTTAATACAATGGCCAATACAATACAGAATGGCCTGAAATGTTTCATTAATAACACTAGTTGTTGGTCTTTTATAAAACAAGGCAACATCAGCTGAAATAGTATACCATTGTTTACAATCAGTTAACCACAAACACTAAGCTAACTAGCATGTCAGTAAATAGTGCAACACTTGTGCTCAAATGTGCTATAAAATGGTGTTTGTTCAGTTTTGTTCGTTCAGCACCATATTTGTAGTTTACCTTTAGCACCTTTGCCACCCTTTCCTTTTGGTGGCATTTTCTTTATCCTCGTGGTGGATGGATGTGTTTCCAATCTATGGTTTCCACTGAACCCTTTGCTAGCACAGGAGCTAGTAACTCACTGTTTCCCACGCGGTAAAGCTGAAAATTACGCGGAAGCTTTTTTTCAGTATAGTTTTACAGTATACTTTTGTCAGTCTATACTGTGCAGTGAACAACATGTGCAAATCCAACAACTGAAATGTATTTTTGCATTGTATGTTTAAACCAGATTATAATAGTAAGGTTTAGACAATCACGTTGATCTGCAAATGTGTCCAAGCCATAGAATCCTGGGAAACAAATTTCGCGTCCCGCTCGACATGTCGTCGCGTCCGCCATCTTGAAACAGTCAGCGTGTCGTCACTCACTGTAATAATCAATGATGCCTCAACATTGCGGATATTCTGTTTCCGGTTCCATAAACCATCTGATTGTGAAATCGCCCAGATTTAAATAAATTCGATAACTTTTCACAGGTGTGTTTCCGTTGGTTGTTTTAATATGTTTTCTATCTATTCTATATGGATTTAAAAAAAAAACTTTTTTACTGTGGTAACTTTTAGTGTTGTACAGCTGGCGCTTTCGTCTTATTGTATTGTGTTAGCAAAATCATCTGCTGCGGTGCGGTCTATTGCTGATATACAGTATTCGTCTGCGATTGCAGACGCTCAGTCAACCTGCTCTCCGTTTTCACGAACCTGCTTTGACCGGCCCAATATGGCGGAAAGCGGCACATATAAACAGCCACTAATGTTGTCTATGTATATATTTCTAGTGTCCAATCCAAACGAACAACCGAACACGACAGCGCCTCATGGCAGTAGCACCTCAATGCAGAACATGAGATCCACGGGGAGGAGTCGGATCACGATCCAAGGGGTGGAGATGGGTAGGATTAGGGTTGGGTTTAGGGATCAGGGGGCGGAGTTGGTTAGGTTCAGGTGTATGTAGGGTGGGAGGAGTTGGATCTGGATCCGACTCCTCCCCATGGATTTCATGTTCCGCCCTCATGGTGACGTCCTTACTCCTTATAATACATGTGTAAAAGGTATTTTTTATTGCAGAAACAAATCATTAAAATGTTCAATTTGATTAGTTACGCTTTCGTCATTTTAATTTTATTTAAGCAATGTATTCGCCTTTAAGTACCGCAGCTAAAGTTTGGAACGAATCAGATTCCCTTTTGTTGAGAAGGAGCTGTCATGGTAACACGAAGACAACACAGTTATTCTCCCGACACGACGCATTATATAAAATAAATAAAAATATTAGATAAATTAGTTTTTATACCAGTAAGGCATGAGGACCCAAAGGTAATAAAGATTTTAAGCATGTTTGTTTTCTAAAAAGTTTGTTTCACCTGTTACTTTGGCTAGTTGGCAGAACGAACCTGTTTATTAATTGAAGGATCAAATGACGGTTTGCCAGCCTGTCTGGTGATTCATTTGTCAATAATCATATCCAGTAGCCACAAACGAGACAAAATAACTGTTTCTGCAACAAGTAAAGGGCATAAAGAAGATGTTTCGTGAATGAATAGGTTCCAGAAATGGAGAAATATGATAATGTACTGAATCTTGGCAGAGGAGGAGCGGGCGTTGTAATGTTGATGAAACATGTTGATACAAAGAAATTATATGCAGTCAAGAGAATTCATGTGGACAGTTCCCGAAAAACAAAGTCCAAAGATGTTGTGTTGCAAGAGGCAGACATTCTCAGAAGCTTGAAGCATCCTCATATTATAACATGGATTGACACATTTTTTGACCCAACTAATGATTATATTTACATTGTGATGGATTATTGTGACGGTGGAACGTTGGATGACCACATTAAAGAACAGAAGAGTGGGGAATACTTTGAAGAAAGCAAAATTATGAACTGGTTTGTGCAAGTTGTCATGGCCGTCAGTTATATCCACTGCGAAAAGATCCTTCACAGAGATATCAAGCCATCCAATGTGCTGTTAACCAAGAGAGGTGTGATTAAACTTGGGGATTTTGGAATATCAAAGATTATGAACCACACGCTGGATATGGCCTCCACCTGTGTGGGAACCCCCAGTTATCTGAGCCCTGAACTCTGTCAGGATGTCCCATACAGCATCAAATCTGACATATGGGCTGTTGGCTGCCTACTATATGAGCTTTGTGCCCTCAGACCAGCTTTTGAAGCTAAAAATCTCCTAAATCTGTTTTACAAGATCATAAAAGCGGAGTACATCAAGGTCCCCGAGAGGTATTCAGAGGACATCCATACATTAATCGGGAAAATGCTGTGCGCGGTTCCTGAAAACAGACCGAGTGCGAGCGGCATACTTAGTATGACATACGTGCAGGTACATCTGGGAAACTTCATCGAACACCAGGAGAAAGAACTTGCAAAGGGGAATGCTGAATGCAGACCTCAAACAAAAGAAGACTTTAACATAGAAAACACATCTATGGAAAGCAGAACAGATAGTGCCTCAGCTGTCTCTGACAAGACACTGCAAATCGAGACGTCACTCACTGCTGAGGATGAAGTGGCCCATGAGGGAACAGAGTCTGATTATTCAGAGGACTTTGATGAACATGATAGCTATGTGTCCTCCGAGGATGTTTCGAGAGAAGATGTCTCCTCCAGCCTTCCCAATGTGGTTGAAGAGGCATTTGAGGAATCTAACGGTAAGGGTGTCATGTATTAATAATGTGTTCCATTGTTTTATTATTATTGTTATGAGGCAATATCCAAAGGCATCAGACGTAGACTGATAATGATCTAAGAAGGATTTCTGGCTGGCTTTTTTTAACATCTTTGAGTATTCTCTGCATATCTTTTATGACAGTTGTGCCTGATGATGAGGACATCTCTGACTATCCAGATGACTTTGAAGAAGCTGAGGATGATGACCTGGCTGAGGTAGTCTGCTACGCCAGAGATGCCATGAGCTGTGTTTCAGAGATTGATGTGGAACTGGAGCTCAAAGATGCAGGCGGTTTCTCTGTCACAATGAAACTGTTAAAAGAGAAATATATGGGTAAACATGCACATATCAAATTGGCAGTACTTTATTTCGATGGTCCGTTTTTGTCATTCTACTAACTATAAGTAACTTTACAATTACATGTAAGCTAACATTCATTAGAGTATTAGTACATTGTCTGCTTAATCTCTGCTAACACTTTATTTTGATGCTCCTTAACAGACATTCCACTGACTCTATGGAAGCCCCCTTTTTCTGTATATAAAGTCTTAGCTATAAGTAACTTGCAATTGCATGTTGAACTTATTATACTAACCCTAACACCTAACCATGGCCTAACAGTCTACTACATTCTTCTTATAGTCTAATTAGAGTTAGTTGACATGCAGTTGCAAAGTTACTTATAGTTAGTAGAATGTCTAAATCGAAATAAAGTGTAGTTGGTTATTTTTTCTTTATTCACTTGATTTTTCTTGTTTTTTTTTTCCTTGGTCTGTCTTAATTATAATTTACTTCAGTGATTAATTTAACAATCTGCTTAACATTTTGTTTTAACAGTTAAAATAATAGTTTCATTCATATCATTTAGTCAGCCTTAAAGGAGTGCTTCACTTTAAAAAAAAAAAAAAAAAAAAACTTTTGCTGATAATTTACTTGTCATTTACTATGTCATCCAAGATGTCCATGTAATTCTTTCTTCAGTCAAAAAGAAATTAAGGTTTTTGATGAAAACATTCCAGCATTTTTCTCCATCCATATAATGGACTTCAATGGGAACCAAACAGTTCAAGGTCCAAATGAGAGTTTCAGTGCAAAGTGCAAACTGTTCAAAGGGCTTTAAACGATTCCAGACGATGAAGAAGGGTCTCATCAAGTGAAACGATCGCTCATTTAAAAAAAAAAATAACAAAGTATAAGTTTTATAAGCTCAAATGGTCGCCTTGCTCTGTTCTGTGATGCACGTTTGTGACTCTCCTATTCAAAATCATTCATCAAAATTAACAAATCTTTTCCCGAGTCAACTTGTTAATTTTGTTCGTTGAATGAACCAAATGACACGAAAAAAGATTTGTTCATTTTGATGAACGAGTTCGAACAGGAGAGTCACGAACGTGCATTACAGAACAGAGCAAGGTGACCATTTAAGCTAATAAAACTTTTTTTTCTTTATTTTAAATGAGAGATCGTTTCGCTTGATAATACCCTTATGAACAGTTTGAACAGTTTGTACTGAAACTGTCTTTTGGATCTTGAACCATTTGGTTCCCATTGAAGTCCATTATATGGAGAAAAATCCTGGAATGTTTATCAAAAACCTTAAATTCTTTTCGACTGAAGAAAGAATGACATGGATATTTTGGATGACAAGGGGGTGAGTAAATTATCATAAAAAGTTTTTTTTAAAAGTGAACTACTCCTTTAAGTTGTTCCAACCCTTCATTCTTTCTTCTGTTGAAAACAAAATAACATATTTTGAAGAATGCTGGTAACCAGACAATTGACGGTAGCCATTGACTTCTATAGTATTTTTTTCCTACAATGGAAGTCAATGGGTGCCATCATCTGATTGGAGACCAACGTTCTTCAAAATATCTTTTTGTGTTCAACAGGAGCAAGAAACTCATACAGTTTTGGAACAACATGAGGGTGAGTACAGAGTGTCTCTGTATAAGTAAGTAAATGCTGCTCTGCTTTCTGGAATTATAGAGGATGTCGGAGCCTCAGTCTATGAGGAAATCAGTGAGCACTTTCTGAATGGCCTCACGCCAGGAGATCTGCAGCCACAGTTCCAGCACATGATCGGAACAGACCATCTGGAGACCTGCTACCTCATTTTCAACCTTGACCAAGAAACAACATGCTGAATCATGCCTGTCCTATTAGGGAAATTCATTTTTCTTCTTTTAACAGTCAGTGCTGACATAATGATGAACTTAAGCAAATGCTGAAATTCTATATTAAATACAGAATTTTGTAATATATGTAATGAATTCTAACTAATATTATAAAATACTGTGATTTTATAGATATTTGTCTTTAAGATTTTTTTTTAAACCAAGCATTCAATGCTCTTTTGAAAGTGTTACCTAGTATAACCAGTAGGTGGCACTCTATAGTAAGAAAAATGTGGTGTTACATACCAATCCAGAAAATGAACGCATAATAGTTTCTCATCTTGGCATTATCAGTCACTTCACAGGACTGAAGGAATTCATTATATCAAGGGCACCCAGCTGACTACTTTTTGAAAGATTTAACACATTTCATACATTCTTATTTATAAAAATGATCTCTCAACATGTCCATTAAACAATGGTTGTAAATGTAAAAGCAGTGGAGACTATCATGTGAACATTTCCTCCTGTTCTTTCACTCCACTACTGAAATGTAAAAGAGACTCTGATTCTGTAAATTTATGGGTCACAGCTGCAGTTGTTTTCCATTTAGGCGTTTTCCCTTAAACTTGTCCAGATTCTTCCAGGGAATAGTCAGTGCGATAGAGAAACTGCCATGTCTAACTGTATAAATGGCCCAGTATTATATGTTATTTAATAATGTTCACAATCTGCCTCCAGAGGAAAGTGTGTTATCAATAGGAGATACATCTCCTCACAGAATGTTTCTTTTATTTTAATTTGTCTGTTTTTATATCTTTAAACATGAAAGAAGAAGAAAAATGATTTTAATCATAAAGTCCTAGCCAGGAAGGGGTGTGTGTGTGTGTGTGTGTGTCATGAGACCTGAGAATCCTCGTTCTTCAAAAAACCAAGTTCATGTTGATGTTAAAGCTAGTGTGCACTTTTATAGATTGAGTGGAGAAAACAACACTAGCTTAAAAAACTGTTTTTCACTTAGACTTAAGTAATCCACTGTAAAGAAAACAATTTTGAACATTAAAAATGTAAAGTCATTCTCACAAAATGCATTTATTTTTTACTATGCTATGTTCTGAAAGATGTCTGAGGAGTCATTCAGGATATACCTTTGAAAATGCTCCAAAAGCCTGATGGATTGTCATGTTTCTTTATGTATCCATCTATGCATTTAGAAAAGTGCATGAGAGACCAGAATAGATGAAAACAGGTCAAGACTACTTGTAGCAATCACCTCAATGCTTTGCCACTTTAAAACCGGTCAATATTTCAGCCATAGTTACACGTTGAGCTTGGGCTTTGTACAAAGTTTGATACATTATTGATTGATTTCTGCACTGCTCCACCCTTTAGCTCAGCTTGAATTTTTTTGTTTGCATATTTAATATATATATATATATATATATATATATATATATATATATATATATATACCATAGGGATCACTGATCTATATAATGACACTTCTATATAGATCAGTGCATGGGATCCTAATTTGTTTGTTTTGACTTGCATTTCTTAAAGTTTCTTAAATTATAATTCGATTTTTCCTTTATTATCTTGTGTAGTTTACCTTATATTTTTACTTCATGAATTGGTGAATTGAACAACCTGCTTTCAATTATGACAACCTTTGGTGTAGTTTTTACATGTTATTGAATATGGCAATATAAATGAATTTGGTATTGGTGGACTAGATCTGCTAGGCCCCTGTTGCTGTTGATTATTGCTGCAAGTATGTACTTGCTTCTGCTTAAACACAGACATGATTTGAGCATGAAGACATGCAAATAGCAGATCTAGTGAGGTGGAACTGGGGGAGGTGGAGCGTTTCAGAGGAAACAGACCATTTAAATAAAACAACAGAAGCAGAGAGTGCTACATGGGTGTCTTTACAGCCACCATGATGCACATTGGCTTTTTACTTCACCACGTGAGTGCCTTGAGTATTACTATTTAAATGTTGAACAAGCGATCTCATTGGCTGCAGGATCAGCAGGGGCCAGATTGCATGTAAAGGACCAACGCGTTCTCATCCTAGGGCGTCATATAGTGATGCTTTTGGAATTTCGTCTAAATCCAATGGCACACCTAAGCGTCAATATAACATGCACGGAGCTTTTGTTTGGTTATGGTAGGTTTAGTTCTGGGGTAAGGTTAGTTTTAGACCACTAGGAGGCACCTTCTGGTCCATATAAATCTGCGTCTCATATACCCCCTTTCCACTAAAAAAAGAACTGGTTCGGAACTGGTACTGGTTCAAAGTTGGTTTGGAGTTGGTTCAACTGACCAACTTTGTTTTTCCACTGACTAGAGCGCCCAGAGAACGACGTCGTTACGTCACTGTGTAAGCCGCCATACGTCTTAGCTAGAAACGCTTGCAAGTACAACATTACTTTGGGATTATGTGTACCAAGAACGCTTTAAAAACAATTGAAATATGTAAGTCTTTTAATCTTTTCCTTTGATATGTTATCTTTTCTGATTAGTTGTGTACCCCTGTCTTGTGTCTTTTTTCTTTCCATTTATTTGTTCTATATTGTGACTCTTTTCTTCTTTGTTTATAATGTTTTCAATAAAAAAGAAAAGAAAATAAATGCTTGCGCCAACTTCAAGCATAACAATTACAAAGGCGGACTCCATCGTGTTTCTGCAAATGTTTCTCCTGGCTTTGCGATCCTATATTATGGTCAGAAAAGCTGTTTAGAACACATCTAAAGCCGCCTCAGCCCCCGACATGAGCATGATGTGGTAAAAGAACGGTTCTAGTCCAGCAAAGAGTTGGTGCCGCTTTGGAAACAGTTTTCCTGGCCGAGAACCGATTCTTTGGCTGTCGAAACACAAAGAACTGGTTCGTGCGCAGGAACCGGCTCTAACCGGCTCTCAAAATGCTTTGGTGGAAAAGCGGCTATATTGACGCTAAAGGGTGCCATTTTAAAATGCAAACTGATTAAAAACATTTGTTGTATAGCAATGAGCTTTGTTTGCTTATTATTGCAAAAAACTTTTTGTTATGGTCCTTTTCTGGCAAACAGCCTCAGTATTATTGGCTTTCCAGACTTGTTTAGGAAAGTCCTAAGGGTCATAAAATTCAAGAGAAAGGAAGTTCTGCAGGGAAAATGCAAGGAAACTCAGGCAAACATGTTTCCCTTGACCTTTAATAGACAGCACATGTCTGGCCTACATTGGTGTGAGATTTCTCTGATATATATCTTATACTGCTCCTCCAGTGTTGGGGAGTAGTTAACTACAAGTAGCGAAGCTACTAACTTAACTACATTTTTCAGTAGCTTGGCTGTAGCTCAGTTGCTTTTTAAACAGTGTAGCTTTTCCAGTAGCTAACTACTTTTTGCAGCAAGTAGCGGTGTAGCTCGAGCAAAAGCTACAATGTGTTTGTCGAGCCTGCGCGAATCAGCGCGCTGCTAGGATATTCTTCTTCTTGTTAGATTACAAACTCATTTTTTTGCCATCACCGCCACCTGTTGTTTAATCACACATCTGCGGCTAACAGTTCACTGACGTACAGAAGTGTGTTGACACACACATGATGATGGAGCAAGATGTGACAGCAGATTTGGAGGATGGAGAAACAACTAACGTTAATTACCCATGGCCTTATTTGTCCAAGTTCAATCGCTATTTTTGAGAAAATGTTCTACATGCAATTTACGTTGGATGTATATTTTTTTCTTGCAATGTTGTAGCCTATTGGTTACAATTTTGCACTTTTGACAAACAATCTGAGATATTTGGGTGTTGTGTGTAATAAAACAATAGTTTTTGAAATCATAATTTTATTGCATTGTTTTAGTGTTTAAAACAATGCAATAAAATTATGATTTCAAAAAGTATTGGTGTCCCCTTCTGTCCTCAGACACTTATTCAGTTATTAATAATACGTTGTTCAAAAAAGCAAAAGTAGTTTCAATGTAGCTAGCTACTTTTTGATAGTAACTTGTAGTGTAGCTAACTACTTTTCCAAAAGAGTAGCTTGACTGTAGTTTAACTACTTTAACTTATGAGTAGCTTGTAGCTTGTCAAACTACAGTTTCAGAGTAGCTTCCCCAACACTGTGCTCCTCACACATGCGTTTAATTGAAAGCTGGATGTTTAAATTCCTTGTTTGCTTATCAGAACATATTTTTATGTAAAATGCATTGGTTCCAGCAGTACTCTAAATCTCTAACCCAATTGGTTATATTCATTCAAGACCACGGGAAGAAAGTAAAGAAAAACATCAAAAACTATGCATAAGAGTCAAGCTCACAGCACAAGTTGTGTCCCTCTTCCAAGCAGAGGAATACTTCAAATCTCCAGGCTGACTGCTGTATGTCACCGCTCTAAAATATTGATGCGCCATTGTTTCCGGTGAAACAGCCTCACTGGAGACCAGTGAATATTAGAGAAGTGAGGTGGAAGATTGTAGCCTGCAGTCGCTTCACGACACATATCAACCACATTGCGGTGAAAATCTGCCCTATTCTAACCCAAGAACAGATCGGACTAAAAGCAGCACTGACAATTACATCAAACTTATCAGCTATGACTGTGTAGAAAGCAAATTGTTTTATCCAGTGGAGGAGTAAAAGCCCCATAGAAAGGTTGATGGCACTTTAATCTCACCATCTTGTGCTGCTATGATAAAAATACCTACAACAACAGCTGTTTAAACGGCTTATATCAGGACTCTATAACATGATCTAACCATGAAACTGAACAGCACAGATTCATACAGTTCAGCTGTTTGATATATTGGCTTAGGTGTTATACTTTCGATTAACCATTATGCTCCAATGTAATATTACTCAGTCATTTAGAAAATGTGAGCTGTATATTTTATAGGTAAGCCTGTTTACGCCTCATAAAAGAAATGAAAAAGTAATTTGCGATGATGTGACTCTATATCTTGCCATATTGTTTCTCATAATTGTTTTATAATGTTCAAAGTGATTTTGTTGAAATGTGACAATTTTATTTTCCACAATGTGACTCTAAAGCTTGCAATTGTGAGTTTGTTGAGTCGAGATGACTTTATATCTCTCAATATTGATTTTATCTCACAATGTGCCTTTAAATCTTGCAGTTACAATGTTTGTTTTTTCTCTCACAATTGCAATTTTATAACTTGCGATTTATAGGCCATTCTCAAAATGACTTTATATCTTGCAGTACAACATGAAATACCACAATTGCGACTTTAAAATTGTAATTGTGATACAAATCCAAATTGTGATTTTATATCCTACAATGACTGTATATCGCAATGTTTCTCATAAGTTACTCACAATATGACTTATGTATCTTCAATGTGATTTAAAAATCTCACAATTGTGACATTGTTTCTCAACACACATAATGTGACTCTTTAAAGGACAAATCCGGCGCAAAATGAACCTTTGGTCTAATTACACATTGCTACCTAGTCAACCGTTATCTGAGATTTGTTTTCATGATTGCCGAATGTAAATAGTTTTATCTCTAAAAACAGTTTAGCCTATAATGCTAGTATAATGCTAGTATATAGGGCATAGAGTTATGACAAATAAAAATCGCTTGTTATTACCACTAACAAGGCTCAAAATAGCCCCACTATAACACGACAGCATAATAAGGGTCCCTATATTCAAACCGAAGCATTGAGAACTTTGTCAGTGTCCATACAGTTTAATAAGAAGATATTTTATACACACAGTCAACTTCGCGAATACAGGAAGAGGCCATCTTTGAAAAATAGTCTCTAGATCTACGAGCGCCGATCCAAGTGCGCTGAACTGTGCAGAATCTCATATGGTCCGTTGTTTCCAGAAGAAACACAAACACAAACCGTTTACTTCTCTTCAATACACACGTTGCCTACTGTTCTCGCTCACCTTATCACCTTATTCACATCTCACCAGCGCACTTGGATTGGCGTTCGTAGATCGACTGGTAGAGACTATTTTTCCAAGATGGCTTCTTCCTGTATTCGCGAAGTTGACTGTGTGTATAAAATATCTGCTTATTAAACTGTATGGACACTGACAAAGTTCTCAATGCTTCGGTTTGAATATAGGGACCCTTGTTATGCTGTCGTGTTTATTGTGGGGCTATTTTGAGCCTTTTTAGTGGTAATAACAAGCGATTTTTATTTGTCATTACTCTATGCCCCATATACTAGCATTATACCAGCGTTATAGGCTAAACTGTTTTTAGAGATAAAAGTATTTACAATCGGCAATCATGAAAATAAATCTCAGATAACGGTTGACTTGGTAACAATGTGTAATTAGACTAAAGGTTCATTTTGCGCCGGAGTTGTCCTTATATAAGGCTCCCGTTTCACATTAACAGAGAAAATGTAAAGTGGTAAGTTTACAAAGTGGCCCTACTGTAA